GAAATCTTATCAAAAAGTTTTGTCGTTCAAATTACGGAGAATTCATTGGTCAACAACACTATTTTTACCGATAATACACACTTTTTTTTATTAAAAATACTGTCATCAATTAAGAGGTTATCTGAAGGTTAAAGAAAATTAGAGAACCTTGCGGTTGAAGGATTCTTAGTGTAAATATTAAAAAAAAACCTTGGATAGTCAAAGTTCGTAATAAAGAATTAAAAAGAAAAATATTGTAATTCATAAAATTTCTCTTTCTTGGTGAAAGAATATTGTTTTGAATTTGAAAATTTGTTAAATCAAAATATGAATATTAACTTTCCTCTAGTTAAATAGAAAAGTAGCATATGCATACCTGATGAAATTAATGCTAAAGGTGAAAGCACTCAAAAGTCCTTAATGAAAGGTTACCAATCTATTGATATGTGGTAAAGAGAAGCCACAATTGTACGACTAAATCTTTTCTTTTCACCAGGTTAAGTCTATTGAATAGAAATTGACTGGCTTGTTTTCATTTATTTACAATCTATATCATAGAGTAAAAAGGTAATAAGTAAACAAGTTTTCGCTTATTTATTTTAATAATATTTATCATTCATTTTTCGCGGTGAAAAGCTCAGGATAAAAGTATTGTATCGCAGGTAAAAAGGTTACACAAGTAAGGAAAACTGTTACCAATATGGTATATGAATATAAAATTGTCTAATTTAAGGATGCACAACGGGTTTTCTAGGACCACATGTTAATTTACGACTACTTAAATTTTTTATTCTTGTACTGCTTATGTGACTGCAATAATTGCCAATAAAGTCTTACAGCTGGGGAAAGAAAATTAATTTATACAAGTTATATTTAGAAAGTTTCAGTTGTAGAAGAAATCCTATTTTTACTTAACCAATTAACTATTCAATTAAGAGAATAATAAAAATATTTTTAAAAACATAGAAATGCAAGAATAGAGAAAATAAGGGCGAGGAAGAAAAGGAAAGAGAAAGACATATAACTATCTCGTTATTTTTTTATTTTATCTCTTTTTTTAAACCAATTAAAGAAATCTATCTCGCTAAATCTTGGTCAAGAATGGCACTTTTTCTATCATTTTCCTTATATATTCTAATTGATAATAAATATTTCTTGTTATTTATTTAAGTATAACGAATTAATAATCACTTAAATGATATTTGCGCTTACAAAGAGAGGATTAATGATATTTCCAGTCATTAATTATGTAGTTTTCTGCAGAATATTGATAATCATTAAAACATTCTGTTTACGGTACATGAAGTATAATAATTGAAAACACTTTATGTATACAATCGTTATACTATACACAATCATAACATTTGTCTCAATGATTTATATTCCAGTGTTACGAACATGAGTACTATAGTAAAAAACTTATATGCAATATATAAACTCTATAGAGCACGTGTAGGATGTAAATTTTCTTCTTGTATATGTTAAGTGAATTGAATTTTTATTATATAATAGAAAATTAAAAACCATTCTACAAAAGGGAAATAAAAGGACTGCAATATAGACGTCGGCGCATTAAAAAGGAATGAGTAGATTCAAAGTTTTCCATTCGATCGCCATGCTCGCTGCTGTACAGATCGGAATTTTAAGCTTGTGGTGTATATTTTCAATCTTGATATTAGTTTTGTCCGTTTGTTTATATTCCTACAGAAATCACAATGTAAGTACTTTTTTAATTAATAGAGAAAATTAACTATATACTCTGTATAGTGTGACTAAATATATATATAAATGTATATATGTATATCTCACTAAACAAAGTAAAAAGAGAATATATCAGATATGGCCTTAGTATATACTAATATATACTGTATACGTCCGTGCGGATAGAATACTGTATATATTTTGTATTATCTCCAAAATATAAACAAAATTCTATAGATGATGGCGTAGAAAAGAGGAAGAGTGAAGGGAAAGGAAAGAAGGGGACACAAAGAGCAAATGGGAGGGAAAAAGAGATAGAGAGAAAGAGAGAAAGAAAAAAAGAAAGAAAAAAATAGATAGATAGAGAGATAGATTGGAGATATTTTTAAAATAAAAAGATGCTAAAATTTTCCCTTATCTAAAAAGAACAAATTGAGTTAATAAAATAGTTTTATTATTCAAATTGTTAAATTATTATTGAACAACTTTCCGATTGAATTGAATGGAGAAAAAGAGATTTTTGTTCATGGAAAATATTTATTGGAAAAATAAAATAAGTTATTCGATAACTGAATATAAAAGTTTATTAAAATATTCTATTTAGCTATTAAACATTAATTATATAATTAGTTATATTATATTTAAAAGTAAAAAATAATGGATCCTTCTATGTAAAGTTTCATGACATATAATGTTTTCTAGTTGTTTTTAGGATTTTCGATTTATATGCTAATATTTTGCGGTAGAGTACACGGCCCCGTTAATCGTGTAAAGTAAAAAAAATTATTCTATTTATAGAAAAACAAATGGTGTTTTCATCGCATTTTTAAGGAGAGAATGAAAAACGGTACCTTCATTCCTCAATTTGTTCGACTATAAAAGAGTTAAATTGGTTATTCTAATCATGCCACTTACTTTTACCAGCGGTAAAGTGAGCATAGTTCGATTCTGCCCCTTCTCTCTCTCCCCCCCCACCCCTCTCCTGATTTTCTTATTTGCATTTTGGTTTGATTTATCGTATTCAACGCGATGTAGAGAATTAACTACAAATAAGTTTCAGATGATATTTACCATTGCTTAGCGCTTGGGGAATTCTATATCCCCATTGTAAGTCATTTGCCCATTTGGCTAAATTTAATTTAGTCCGCTGAGGTCGTCGACTGCAATATAATGACACGTTTGCGACCCCTAAAACAAGGGTGTCTATATTTCTTATCGATAAATTGCGTAATAGATTATATTAGAATTCATTTTACAAAGATAGTTATAGATTAAATATGGAGGAAAATAGAAAATACTTTTTGTTTTTTGTTCTTTTATTGTTAAATCAATTAAAAGTAACAATAAGAAAACAGTGCTATTTAAAAAGAAAAAAATTAATCACATCTATCAATTGTAGATTTTTTCAAACAATTTTTAAACAAGGCTCGTTTAAAATTCATGGGTTATCATAGCTTTCACTTGTACTTGACTAAAAGATACTCGATAAAGGGATAAAATTGTCACCTTGAAAGAGAGTGATGAGAGATTAAAGACCTCTGTTAACATTTTCCTTCTAAAGAGCTAGTTTAATTGAATAGATCTACTAGCAGTACGAAGAAAAGATGCCCTCCGAGATTTTTCTTATGCCTAGCTGTTATACCTTTTTTATCCATCTTCATTCGTTAAAACTGTAATGCCTTTTTAACAAAACCTTCGAGATTACTTTTTGCTATCCTACGACTTTCATTTTCTAGTTATCAAACTAACATTTATTCCGTTATTCTCACCTTTACTTGATTTATCCATAAGCGTCTGCGTTTGCTTTAATTTTGCCTTTTAGGATGGATTTAGGTACTTAGGTCCACCGAAAAATTAGCTCTAAATTTATCGTACTTAAGTGACGCTTTCTAAGTGTGCATGGAATGTCAATTATCGGGTGCAACCAAATGAGCACACGGTAGACAAATCTCTAACGACCTACAGAAACAAAAACAGACATAGAATAAGATTTAAAGACTGTGCATCGGGAAGAAAATTCAATTTTTATTTTATATTCAGGCTTGATAAACCAATCAATTCGTTTTATTCCCATACAGATCATCAGATGCTCGTGTCCTACCCTAATTTTTTCGGTCGTTTGCGGTTGTTATCTCCTGCAATTTCAGGTTTTCCTAACTAGTTTTGCTTGCAATGCATAAATAAAACCCATTTGACGTTGATGAAATCTGATTCATTCTATAGGTTCTACTCGATGTATTTTCGTATGGCAAAGAGGACGTCTACTTATGTATAAGTAGATATTGGATAAAAAATTTTGCAGGATGTCTTATAAACGGTGTGATCGTGTTCAAAATGTGGAGGTTAGTAAATTTATATTTTTTCTTCAAGTATATATATAACTTAATGACTATTGAATTCTCATTCAACTTAGGATTGTCTTCTATAGACTAAAACTTTGACATTCAATTATTCTATTGTCAATAATATCAATTCATTTTCACTCTTATTTTGTCATACTGCGCTTTTCCCTTTTATTATCCCTCTCTCTCTCTCTCTCTCTTTCGCTCTCTCTCCTTTTCTCTTTCTCTCCTTCTCTCTGTCTATCTCTTTTTCTTTCTCTCTTTTCAAAATACTTAGCATTAAATATTAAAGAGAATAAAAAATCTTCAAAATACTCGAAAAAAAAATCCTATACAGATTTGCTGAGATCCTCTCAGGAAGCTGCCTTCCCTTTTTTCTTTGCTCATCTTTGTTTATAAGCGTTATCAATTAGATATAACAAAGAACTGAATGCTTAATAAATTCTTCTTAATTAATTGAAAATTTTATTAAGAGACGAGTAATTATAAAATTTGTTTACTAGAAAGCATATGCCTTTAGTCATTTAGCCTTGTTTGTTTCTAATTTTCTCTCTCATTATATCTTTTGTTTGATAGGATAGCTACTATTATTAATACGAAAAAGGATAGAATACTGCGGCTCGATAATGGGGCCATCTGGTGTAGACTCGCTCTGTTAACAACTTGCGTAATTTTATACCTTATCATTGATACGGCTGTTGCAATATCGACAATATGCGATCCTTTTCGATGGTCAGGAATTCCACTAATCGGGTTTTGGGTAATCTATAGTTCATTAGGTTTGAAATATTGTTGGAATTGCCGACAAATTCCATCGTCCTTCAATGAATCTTCCGAGAATGCTTTTATCCTCTTCAATTATATTATTAATGAAGCCTATTCGTTATTGATCAGCCTACATTTACAAAACGGACGAGATCTGCGTCTGGAACTGATTTGGGATTGTATGCTTGTTTATACATTCTTGTTAACAACGATAATGGCAGTTGGAGGATCAAAACTGCTTAGAATAAAACTAGACAAGAAGGTAGAGAGAAAGCAAATTTTCGAATTTATGAGCGGAAGTGAAAAAATAAGAGATCCCCAAATTGAGGAACAGTACTCAAGAGTACGTATAATTTCCTTTAAACATGTACCTTTGAGAGAAATATATAAACTACTCAGCGATAAAAAGTTTAATATACAATTTATGTAAATAACACTCTGTTTACGTTTCTTTTCATTATCCCAGGAGGAAGTCGATAGATTAATTGAACTTACTAATCGTTTAGAAAATGAAAGAGATTTTTATAAAAGAGAATATTTGAAGTTGGCGCCATCGACAGAAACAACAACATCCCCGACAATATATCATCCAACTTTTGGAAAGACTTTAATAATCAATCAAGCTAATACTCATACAATGCGTTACTTGAAAATGCAATTGCAAAGTGCTCAAAATGATCAAAAAATGCCGATCTCAGTCCATATTTAAAAAAAAACCGCTCAGGCGAATGACGTAATAGTTTATAACAAACTGTTGTTAACAATATCTTTTTTTTAAAGAAAAAACCAGTATTATACAATGCTTACGACAGCGAACAATATGATAAAATATTTACGAATATACTATATATATATATACAGTATATATTTCATTAAACTTCGAACAATTTAAGGCTATCATAGACAAAATATATGGTCATTTATTCAAGTAATATTCATTAACTTTATAAAATAACTGATCACCAATAAATTACAGCTTAGAGCAACTATTTTCCCAATATTACATCCTGAAAAACAGATAATTTCTTCTTCATTAATCTTCATAGACTTTATAGTTCTTGTTGAGCTACGTTATAACATTAAAGGTGATTTATTTTTTCTTAAATGATTAGAATTAACGATAAAGTATCTGTTATAAATCATTGATTATCACACTTTCTCATCACCCTCCACTTCCCCTTTACATAAATATATTTTCAATAAATGAAAAGAATTCATAGATAAAACTTAACTTTGATAAATGTATAGATTATTCACTTTCTTCATGTTTTTTTGTTTTATTCAGGAAACAATCATTTCTTTTATGATTGTTTTCTACTCTTTAATTTGACTATCCACCAATCTATAAATTGCGAAACCAAATCCTCCAATTATTACTAGAAGCATTAAAATTGTAAGTATTTGAACACAGTTTAATTTTTTCTGCAATTTCTTTACGACTGCTTGAAATGGGTTCAATTTCATTTCTTTGTAAATCTCTTCAACATCTTTATGTACTCCTTTAGGTGAAAGTGTTGAATTTGAACTCTTCGATTGTAAAATTGAGCCGTAAACCTTGGAAAAGTCTGGAACTGTGCTAGATTTTTTCGGTTCGGTTGATTGAGAAGATGATGTGAATCTTGTTAAAGAAGTACTAGTTGATGATTTTTCCAATCTATAGTCGTAGAAAGAAGGTCTAACATCCATCTCTAGAGATTCAACTGCACTAAAAACTAACAGAAGAATGTCTCAGTTCATGTTTGCTTGAAGGGTTTCGAATAACTTTCAAGCAGTAAAACTGCTAAATCTTTACAATATTTGAACAGGATTAAAACATTTTGCTTTAAGGCGTTGACTTTAAAATATTCATAATGGTATTGTAATTTATGGAAACAAGAGAAAAGCCACTTAGCACAACATATTTTATATTTTACAACATTGTAAAAAACTTCTGATTCTATGCTTCATCAGATAAAATATCCCTCGTTGTAGATATACAATATATATATATCTATATATAAAGTATATACAGTATATACAATACAGAATATATATATTCAAGCATAGCCGCAAGATGGCGTAAAAAATCGGAAATATTGTAAATTCTTTTCCTCCATAATCCGCAAGTAATTATATTAAACTCATGCGAATTTTTCTGAATAATTTATAAGATTAATATAATCTAGATAGGATTAGTTTACAAGATTTTCTATTAGAAGCAGCATCTTAATTGAATTTCAATGCGTTTCATTAAAATTCTGTATTTAATTGCATGCAAAAGAAAAGAAAGAAAATAAATAAACAAAAAATAAACAAATTGTCACATCAAATCTGCAGTAAAAATAGTAAACATAAAAATATGAAATAATGCTTTTATTGCACTGTTCATTAAGTTTGAGCACATGATACAGATGAATTATGAACGCACATTCTTTGAACATGATCGTAAAAAAGATCTATTGAACATCCTCCTCTTGGAGGCAATCTCCCTGTAATACATTGTATTTGCTGTAGACAATCAACAGAGTCAGAAGAATTCTCTTTACTTAAACAAGAATCGTCTAATGAATATCCAAAATCACATAGCTTGCCAGAATTTGGACAGCCACATTTGTTTTCTGAACATTGGCACTCAAATCCAATTTGACCAATTTCTCGACATGTAGATCCACTTTTACAAGGATTATTCTTGCACGAATACGTTTTGTTTTGAATTTGAAGCTCTTTTAAAGAATCTAATGCACAAGCAACATTTTGAATATAATCACATTTAGAAATCTCCGGATTGAAAACAAGTCCCCTGGGACAATCTATATTTAATCTTACTCCTTTATTACATTGAAAAAACTGTGAACAAGAGTTTGGACTAGAGTAATAACCATCTCTTTTGGTCGAGCAATTAAATGCCTCATTGATTGTAGAATTTTCGCAGTTGGGTCCGAAATCGTGTTTAAAGCATAAACAAGATGCGCAGTGGCATTTAAAAGAGTTATTGCCCAAATTTTCGCACGATCCATTATTTGTGCACGGATTGGAATGACAAGGGTTTTCTGTTAAATTAAATTTATTAAATATTTATAAAGGTCTAAAAAATTACTCAGTTAAACTCACTCTTTATAGAAGTAGAATATGACGAATAATCAATAGATAAAGTTGTTTCATTGATGCTAAACCATCCGGAAGTCGTTGAGGTTATATAAGAGGTAGAGGAAGTGGAATTGTCTCTCTTCGTAAAAAACACACGTCTTGTAGTATTTTCAACGTTCTTCTTTGTAGTCATCGATTTTTTTGACGTGAAGGAGCTTGAGTCCCGAAAAGTTGAATGATTAGATGTCTTGTCAGTGGTTCTCACTCTAGTGGTTTTCGTATGCATATCCTTGTTAGAATAGTCTGTCATTGCCGTCTCTTCTCGACTAGTTTCTTTATTTTCTGAGGTAGTTCTCAATGTAGTTTTAACGTCAACACCAGTAATACTACTATTTTCGCTTATTGTAGTTGATTCTTCAGGCTCAATAGAACTGATCGTTGTTTTAGTGCTGTTAGTTGTTTTGTCAATACTAGTGGTAGTTTGCCACGTGAAGAATTTAGTTGTTTGTCTAAAAGTACTATTTTCTTTTGGGGTTGTTGCAGAGGTTGTTGTATGTTTTTTAACTTTTTCCGTTGCGGTTGTAGTTGCTGATGCTGTTAATTTAATTTCCGTACCTGTTGATGGGCCGTGTGTTGTCTGTTCCGGGGTATTTCGGCTAATTAAACTGGTTCTACTATCAGTCAAATTCAAAATGTTAGAGGTCGTTTCGGTTGGCTGATGGGTCGATGTTAGCTCTCTCGCAAAGCTACTGTTTTTAGGCTTCGACGTAGTTTTTACCGATTCCTTTATAGAATCTTTCATAACGATACTTATGCTTGATGCATGTATATGGAAATTTCCTAAATAAGATGAATTTTGTGATAATTCTTTGATTATTATCCCCTTTATATGTTTGCCGGATACGAAATTTGTGAATAAAATTTGAGCATTTGCTATTACACTTCCAGGACTGTTAAGGAAAAAAAGATATGAGTAATGTGTCTTTATTAATATTTTATTGATTGTTCTTATGAAATTCACCTCAATTTCCCAATGTTACAAGAGTGGAATAACTCAGACAATGAAGTTTCCGATGTGACTATTCCTTTTAGCTACAATAAGAATTTACAAGTGCGATTTACTTATAGCCAAATAGAATTATAGCTTACCTTTGCACAAAGTGGTATTGCTATGGTTTGAAAAGATGAGGAATCGTTGGAATTCATGGATACTGTATAATTAAAATTGGTTATTTTCAGAATGAGGACAGCTCTTAATCCCTTCTCCTCAGGGGAATTTTCAATTTCTATTCGATCTCCATCCGTTACTGGAAATGATTGAAAGAGAAAGCAAGAAAATTAAGCATATATTTTTCTATGGACAAGGTTTACTTACGTGTAAAGTACAGAATGTAAGCCAAAACTGAGCATAATATCAACAGAAACCCAAGTGTGGCCATCCCAATAACAACAAACACTTTCTTCTTTCTTCTCTTTTCATAGCTTCTTCTTGATCTATAGTTAGCCCTTAAACTATTGAATTTTCCGTTAGCACAAGGAGCAACATAAATTCCAGCTTTGTTTGTAGAGCTAGATCCATGATCTAGAGTACCGTATGTTGAATCAGTTTCAAAAGGTGGAACCTGCCCATTGAGTGGATTTTGCCTGCACCTCGGCTGCAAAGTAACAACTTTAAGATTAAGTCAGTTTGATGCTATGATAATTTTGGGGGTTTGATACTATCTTGTTAAGCCTAATATAGATTTCTTTGGCTATGGGCGTTTTTGTATATGATAATATGCATTGTACCAAATAGAATATTATACCATGGAGCCATAATCCATTTGTTTATTAGCTTAAGTTTTTTTTTTGTGCGCCAAAAGGAAAATCTGTACGAATTTATCTATAAAGATGCTATGGGTTTTTATAATCTTAAGCTATATGTCAAGTAAATATTGATATTAAAATCGAAGTATAATTCAAATACCAGTGGTAGTATGCTTTTCATTAGTTTAAAAAAAATTCTTTAACTCTTCTTTCTTCATCTTTCTCTTTCTATTAAATTTCCTTCTATTTTTATTTAGCGCAATCGCATCCTTTTTTTTAAATGTTTTAATATAAAAATCTTCTTCTTTCATCAAGAAATCTTCTCTTTGGGGAAAGGGAAAGGTCAAATTATTTCCAGTTTCTTTCCGTTTCATATATAGACTTAATCAGAGTGAAAAATCTTTAGTGGCTGTAATTTGCTCATTTTACGATATAAACACAAAATTATCTACTTTTTTTGTTTAAATTTAAACAGTTAGTTGATTTTCTATTTGGGTATAATTGGAATGAAAGTTTCCTCTTCGGTAGCACAGAAATAATGATTTTTCTGTGTTTTTCTCCCTCTCTCTGTCTATCTAGCTCTATCTCTGTCTTGCTATCTATTTTTCCTTTTCTCCATTTTCCTTTACAGTCATTGTATATGCCTTTCTTCCGTGTCAAGTGACCGTATTCGATAAAAAGTACTATACAACAAAACTATTATGCGATAAAAAAAATTCGACATTGAATTCATCTCACAATTAGCTTTTCATTGAGTTTATTCTAGCGATACATACAAAAATTCAGAGGCCTATAGTACTTTATAGTGTAAATGTTTCCTGCGTTTCGATAGAGAAGCAACGGGTATTGCAACTGGAAAAATTTGCACTGTACACTACTGTTGTATAGTAAACAACTAGAGGCTATTTTATTACCTGTCATACAAAAATACTCTATGTTTAAATAGACAGGAAAATATAAAAATTAAACTTTTTTCGGAAATATCTCATATTTATTTAATTAGAGAGAGAGAGAGGTGTGAGAGAAAACAGCAAAAAAAAAAGTTATTGCAGTTGATGCTCTTTTTATTAATGGTAGTGTAGGCGTATATACATATGCAATATACACTCATATAGATTTATATATTTATAAAATGGTTAATCGCAAATATCATCACTTGTATATATATACTCTCTTTTTGCCAGAGTGCTTTTTATGAATAAATCTGATGAAGACAATACTAATACACTTCGGATTTCAACCTATATTCGAAGCTAACAAATTCAATTATTCAGTTAATTTACTACTTCTAGAGTTTAAAGAGAATCGAAGATGGCTGCGAAACAGATTATTAAAAGCAAATCATATATCAAAAGTTTATACATCTTCTGGAAAGGATGAATAAAATACGCATCACGTGTGTTACATGTTTTACAGTTGGAAAATTGAGGGGTAAAATCATAGAGAAAAAAATTGCTTACTGGTGTGAAAGTAGGCGTTCCGCAACCGTTTGGTGCAACCTGACGCTTTTGGCTAGCATAATGTTGTCTCCAAAAATTTAACATTCGACTATCCGGCGTAACATCGCGTCGTTTGGACGCTGTTTTTTCTGGATTTTTTCCAGTCATCCTCATCGATCCATTTTACAGCCTAATGTGAAGCGTTTCAGGTTTTTAAAGCGACATCTAGGTGGTCTCCATTATTTTTCAACGGGATAGGGCGTTGGTTTGTTTGTATTGTTGATTGGATTCAGAGAATATTTATTTCTTTGAATCCCAAAATTGTATCCTTAAAAAAATTCATCTTCTCTAATTTTGCATTGCTATTCTTTCAAAGAATATTATTTTTAACCCACTATAAATCAAGTGACGTAATGACTGATTGTTTCTCTCCTTATCAATTGAGGTCGAGCGAATCGAGATTTCTTTGCTTTTCTTCTTCTATCATAAGCATTTCCTTTTATTTATTCATCTTACATATACTAAAACAATTTAACAGTTTGCATTTTATACTTTTACTAAATCCTATAATTTATTTTCTTACGAGAAAGAAATGATCAATGGTTGAAACCTCCTGCGTCCATAAGTTACTATGGTTACAGAAGTCAGGGATGGTGTTTTTTTTGTCTGGTCCTAGCTATCAACTTTTATAACAGCAGCTGTCGATTTAGCGACGTATGAGTCCATAAATATAGCTTAATTGAAAAACGTACTCTTTACCATCTATACTTGGTACATAATTTGGCCTAAAAATTTTATTGCTTACCAAGAAAAAACAGAGGAATCGGGAGGGGGAAACAAGACCTTACACTGAAGGGTACTATTGAATAAGTTTAATTATTTATAAGTATAAATAGATGGTTGAATATGACCATTTATCTTTTATCTCCGGATGCAAAGATTAAGAATGAAAATGCTTGATCGAATTTTGACAAAATTGCATTTGACGGCGCATACTAATTGAACCGCAGGGATTTGCATTTCCAAATTTGCAAGAAAGGACGGAAAAGAAAGATATGGAGAAAGAGAAAGAGAGAGAGAGAAAGAGAGAGAGAGAGAGAAAGAGTAAGCACTATTTTCATTTCAGTACCAACGCCATCTATCCATTTTAAGTTGAACCCTATTTGGGAACTAACCTGGCTTTTGGCCATATAGTATTGGCAATTTCCTACCCTAAATAATGACGTAGGATGGGAAAGTCATCCTTTTTGCTTTACCGTTAATATAGATGACTTAGGTTGTTTAGTCCACTCCTAAATCCCAGCTTACTGAATAATAGAAATGATAGATAAAAATACCATCAGAAATCTCTCTAAATCTACGACAACAAAACTAATTACGCAACTTAATTAGGTAAAAAAGGATTATTTATAATAAAACTTTATTATGTCAACTGCAGATCTGATTTTTTTGCTGACTTTTTTTATTATTCCTATAGAGTATTCATATCAAGTAAAGGAAATAGGAGATTTATTTTTTTTATAAACGCCAATAGACTCCTACAGTAAACTTAAAGTGATACTTGCAGCGCAAACTCCGAGAAATAACACAATGAATAATATTAATGCGCATAGGCATGGTATACTACAATGACGTTTCTTAGGTGGTGGAGATGGAAGAGAAATAGAAGACGTTTCCGTATTTTTGAATGGATAGCGAGTAGCATTCGCCCAAGGAAATGGCGTCATATTAGCTGGAGGTAGTACCGGAACCCATAATCTCTTTGGTACAGTTTGTCTCTAAAAACATGTTTACTCTATCTCAAATGATTATAGATAAAAATAACATTTTCGACCCACTTACTTCGCATCTCTCCAGTACGTTATTAAATTTGGGCAACAAAACCGAATTTCCAGGTTTTCTGTATAGAAATTCTCTCCAGTATTGCAGAAGTTCTGTTGTATTAAGTTTGTTTCTATATTTATAGCCGTCGGAAAAAAATCAATAAAATTTTAGTATTATTTATATACCGGGGTCCAAAATTATGTCACTGCCATTATCATCTTTTATCCAGGAAGGAATTCTTACGGATATTTTGCGATTGCCGTTTTCATTCATGATCATTAGATGCTGTTTATTCAAGATTTTATTCTCCTCTAAACTTAAAACCACAACAGATGTAAATTAATTGAAAATGAATTTGTTGCCAATAATTCATAGGATTCTCTAATGAAAAAAGAAGAGAAACACAAGGAAAAATTTTCTCATTCATTTCCATGTCTAAATTCAATTTGTTTGAAAGATTCTCTTCTATATTTTCAATTTCTATAATCTAATACAATTCATCGATAGGCCTAAGCAAAAATATAGGCCAATGGAATCTAAATCTTCTCTAATCCTTTGAACAGAACGCAAAACTACCCAGCTTTATTGACAATATGTATTGACACAGATACTATTACAAATATAAATCGGCCTTAGCGACAAAGTTTTACATTGAAATCTCCAGTTTTTCATAGAAAGAGAGAAATGTCTACTACGGCTGCTGTAAGTATCGTTTATCTCTTTATACGATGACTTCTTTGACGTTATCTAATCAAAAAACTACTTGGGATTGTTATCAATTTGAAATTTTGCACTGATTATTTGATTTTCTTCTTGTTTGAATAATAGAAAACAGAAAAAATGTCTCATTATTTTTTACATAGTTTCGATCATTATTCTCCCGTACAGCCTGAAGAATTGACAGAAGAGCAGATAGAGTTAATAAAAGATATGTTTATGGTGTTTGATCAAGATGGTGATGAAACAATAACGATAAAAGAATTAGGAACTGTAATGAGAGCATTAGGGCAGCATCCAACTGAAGCGGAATTGAACGCCATCATTGCAGGTAAAAATTCAATTATTAAATCATTATACACCTCTCAGAAAATGTATAATTTTAGAGATTTACATAGTCTTTCTAGCTTATTTATAAACAAATCTATATGTAAAAAACAAAAAAAACAGAGATCGACGCTGATGGTAACGGAATAATTGAATTTCCTGAATTCGTTGATTTAATGTCAAGAAGACCTTGGGGGAAGTTAGGATCCGACGAAGAACTTAGAGGAGCTTTTCAAGTTTTCGATAAGGGGAATGATGGTACTATTGATGTTAAGGAAATTAGATCTGTTTTAACAGGTTCAGGAGAAAAGTTAACAGACGAACAATTAGATGAGTTATTAAACACTTTAACACCAGATGGAGAGGGAAAACTAAGATACGAAGGTATGTACAGCAACATAAATTAAAATAGTCCAATATGATTATTTAAACCACTATTTCTTTATTATTCTTTGACGAAGATTTTATTCAAATTATTATTCAGATATGGTGAAAATTATCAATGACATCTAAGAATATTCAAGAAATATTGAATCTAAATAATTTACTGTATTTATACTATCATAAAACTGTTTTATAATTGGCTATAATCGGCTATCTAACTATCTAAAACTGGGAAAAGATAAAGAGGAAGAGAGGGAAGATAATTAAAAGATCTTTCTTCTTCATTATCGTCGTCATCTTCTTTCTTCAAGGATACATTTATATTTTAAATTTGCTAAATCCTCTTCTCTATTATAAATTACAGTATACTGTTTCTTTATCGCAGTAGTAAGTTCATGTAAATATACAATAGATGGCGCCATCGTACAATTAGAAATTATTTTAAAATGAGAGAATTCCTTCTACTGGCAAGTTGACAAATTTTTATTATAGCTAATAATTAAAGGCAATATAAATACCGTAATTATCTATAAAGACAGAATAAATACAATATATAAACAATCGTTTCTATATGCATAATAAATTATTAAAATGTCAAAGAAGCATAAATATTAATAAATTCATTAATTAATTAGTTTACTTAAATAGCTTTTGTTTGTTTTTTTTTAAACTTTAGCCTTTAGCATAGTTTATTTACGTAACAAGCAATTATTGTTATGCAATAGTTTATAGGACTATTATGGCCGTTATAAGGAAAATTAAGTGATTAAGAGATTCGTATATTTTCTATAGGATCTTGAAATTCCAAGTAAATAGGAAAAAACACGAGAGGATTGACCTTGGAAAAAGTTGTAGGAGATATACGTGATTGCAAACTGCAAAAAGACAAAATTCGAAAGTTAAATAATTAACCATATAATTTAAAAAAAAATAAATTATATAATATAAAGGAAGGTAATTGAGCTAGTGATGCATTTTTAATATTTAAGAAACTAAGGTGTTATATTAAATTGGAAACTAATTGAAAAGTTACAACGTAAATTCCTGTCCGATATAAAGGTAACGTTTTCAAGGTAGTCGGCTATCTTTTCCCCTTGAGTTCTCCAGGTTGCATTGGAATTTTCTTAGAATATCGCCAGACTGCGTAATTTTTCGAATTTTTACTAAATGTAGAAGAGAATAGATTTTTTTTAAAAAAAAAAGAACACAAATAAAAGTTTTCTTTTAGTTTTTTATTACATATGATTGCCTTGAAATTTGCTCTGTGACACAAGAAGAAAAAATACACTACACTTCAACGGCCATTGAACTAGCCTTTCTAAAACTGCTAAACCTGTTTATCAAAATTATATATAAAAAAAGGGACTTTGATTATAACGTGGGCAAAAAATTCATTTTCTCTGTAATGTAAAAGTACTTAATGTTTGGTCTAGAAAAAAAAAAAAGTATTAATATTACCCTATCGATCTCTTTAATAAAATTATCGATTTTTCGTTGCCAACATTATAATGGCGAAAAGATCAGTGGTAAGTTTATTTTTTCGTTTTAACGTCTATTTTATGAAGTTTTATTCACTTGTCTTTTATCCTATATAAATTAATTTTCATAAATAAAGGGTATTGGAGAAATTCAAGAAGGACGGAAGAATACTGCTAGACCAAGTACGTATTATTATCTCTCTTCTTTTTTCTTTTTCTAAGAATGTTAGTGAATATTTTATATAAACTTATAATAATGTATATATTTGATAAATACCACATATATATACAGTGTATATAGGCTGTTTAGATATATATTGTATATACTATTTTTTTACAGTATTCATGTTAAAAAAAAGTTGCAATTGGTAAACAATTTTATTATTAGGGAGTAAAAGGATTTAACTTGTTTGTGACTCACGCTCTTGACATTAAAAAGGCTTAGGTTTGAGACTATAACTTTATTCTTTCTTAATCTAATAGTTTTGGTAAATATTCAAAGTAATGACGAAATTGTTGGAGAAGAATCGGACGATTGTGTTGAAGATGAAGGGAACGAGTTATTCGAAATTGACGAGGAAGAAGCTCAAATTGCCGAAGCATTTAGAGCTTTCGACCATAACAATGATGGTTATCTAGATATAACTGATTTAAGGAGGGTATTATTGAAATTGGGACATAATTTAGATGATGAAGAATTGCAAGAAGTATTAGACGAAGCAGATAGTAATGGAGATGGAAAAATTGACTATTATGGTTAGATAAACTAGCTTTTTTATTTAATAAAAAGAATTCAAATATTAATTTTATAATACCAAGACTGTTTAAGGAAGAGATAAACGAAATTGATACTAGTTCTCTTTATTTTTGTTCATAGAATTTAAGAAAATGATGCTAAGAGAAGACACTCCAATAGAAAAAGAAGAAGCGGAAGATAACTTATTAAACAATAAAGATGATGAAAGGGGATAACTTTTTAAGAAACAAATATCCTCTAAATTTTAATCTTCAAGTTGTTTGCACCGTCTGAATCTTGATTGTATTTTTTACTACAAACATTACTATATTCACGTTATTCTATTGTACAAAATGTTCAAAAGCTGTATAAAGTTACTTATATACAACGATATGTCCTCTATCAGAGCTCTGTTTTCACTTTAGAAATCGACTTTAGTACAAAAGTAGTAAAAGAATATTTGTATTGCGTATACTTCAACTATGTTAACATTAACTGCATGTAATTTAATCACTCGTTTCATTAGGTCATCGTTTTTTTCTTCTTCTTCTTCTTCATCATCTTTTTAACAATGTATTCTATATATTGAAAAATAGGAAAAATCTATTCAGTTATACCTTATTAGTAAGGTAGATAGTTGGGAAAATCTCACGGACAATAGCTGGGACAAAAACAAGAATTTATTTATAAAACAAATCTATGGAATATGTTAGCTCTCAATTCAATAACAAATAACTATAAAAGGTCTAAAAGTGAAAGATAGATAATCGTAGAATTTTAAACTAAAAAGAATTCCTTTTATAGTATGTTTGCTCTATCATGATGTATATCTAATATAAATTTTCTTCTTTATTTCTCTAAAATAGTTCATTTATTCTATATTTAGATTAACCGGATTATACATAAACTGTATTACTAATTTATAATGATTCACGTACTTTACACTTTAAGTATCTTTAATTAGAAAATAAGAACATTCCACATATGAATAAAAATTTTCTTTTTTATTAATTTGCTTTTACCTTTGTACAATAGATATATAAACATATAAAATATATATATATATATATATATATATATATATACTGTATATATAATATTATTATATAGAGAGAGTGAAGGATATTTATATACAATAAAGAAGATTATAACTCTTAGAAAGGTATAAAACAATTTAAAAGAGGAAGATAAAAAGAATTAACTCTTTTACCTTTTTTTCGACTTTTTAACTCAGTTTCTATCTTATTTTTTCTTTTAAAGCTGCCAGTTTGCGAAAAAAAGGAAAATTTTTGAACACCTGTATAAAAAAGTTTGAACAGAGCTACTTTACAGTAAAAAGAACATTAAGGTACTCATATAAAAAGCGAGGTAGAAAATCTAGTAAGAATAGTAAGGTTATTATACAAAAAGAGAAAAGCCAAGTAAGAACAAAAAATTATCAAATCTACAACATTAAAAATATATAAACAAAAGTTTTGAAAAAAAGAAAATCGAAATATGAAAATAGTAAAAATGAAGTTTCTTTTTTTTTTTTACATAAAAACAAACTGTAAATGTTGTTCTCCCAAATAAATAAAATAAAGTAAAAAACGATTTGAGAGTGAATTGAAAATAAGAAGAAAAATAAAGTGATACTAAGAAATTAAGCGCCGCCCCTGGATGGAGTTTTTTTTCCTCAAACTTTCTAATTTATACAGTTATGCAGTTTTTTTTTCTTTTTTTTTTTTTAGAGATAAATTTGTTCGTTTGAGAATTTTTTCATTTCCTTTTTTGTTTCTACTCTTTTGACCTTGGTACAGCTCTTACAAAATAATCTGGAGGTTTCAATATAGCACCAAATTCAAAATCTCTTGGATCGGATGAAGGTAATTTGCAATTGGAGGCTGGGTAAAAGGTAAACTTTCTTGAAAACGACGCCGTTATTAGAAATAGCCTGTTTAAGGCCAATTGCTCTCCGACACACACTCGTCGGCCGGCTCCAAACACGAATAAGCTACAAAAAGACAAAAGAAAATATTTATGTATTGTATTGTTTGGCATTGGATTTATTTTGCAAACAAGAAAAATATAAATGAAAACATACTTCCTTCTTGTTTTATGGTCAGGCTTAACCAATACGCCATCTTCTATAAATCTTTCAGGCCTAAACGTCCAGGGGTCTCCCCAAATATCTTCATTGTGATGTATTGCCCAAAAGTTAGTCCAAACTTGAGTTCCAGGTTCAACTGTAGCACCACCTAGTTCCGTTTCTCTCACGGCAACGTGAGGTAAATTAAGAGGTATATGAGATATATATCTTAAGATTTCCAGGCACGTAGCATTCGTATATGGCATACATCTTCTGTCTGAAAATTCTATCTCGTCGCTTCCCATTGAATCAACTTCTTCTTGTAAACTCTTCTGAACTTTAGGATTGTGTAGTAGTAGTAAAATAAGTGCTTGCAAAGCTCTTGCAGTTGTCATATATCCGCCTGATATTACATCTAAGCATATAGGATATAATCTAGTTCTTACAAAGGTTTCCAAAGGCTCTTTACCATCTGAAGAATGTAAAAATAAGTAAATATATGAATATTTATATGCTTACTTACACATATATACAGTTTATAAATATTTATGTAAGCCTTAGAACTCTAATTTATAAAAAAATAAGACTAATTTTGTGTAACACTACCAAAATGAGGTAAATCTACATTCTCTAATAAACAATAAACACAACAAACGTAAGTACTTCAATCAAAATCGCAGCTGGGCCTCTAGCGAGTGCTGACCCAGATCAAAATTTGTTTATTTTTCAATAGTCTACGCTACTTTTCAATGTCTAAATGTAATCTACTATCTTATGGAAATATATAGGAAAAGTTAATTTCAATATTACTATAACTAAAGATTTATATTCTCACTTCTTCATTGAGATAAAACTTAAGAACAAGATACTTTTTAAAAGTATAATTGCTTTGTTATATATCCTAATTTATAAAGTTTTCTTATAGTAAAAATTGATCTTGTGAGTTGAACTTTGTTAAATTATTTGTATTTTTAGCTTAAGTTATATAGAATAAAAACCAGCTAACCTTTCAAATACTCTTCATATAAGCTATCAACGAGACCTCGACATGTACCTTCTTTATAGGTTGATATGACATCATTTATTTCTTTGATTAAAAATGATGATACTGTATTTCTACATTCTTTCATCGTTTTGCAAATTTGCCTTGGAAAATTAAAATGCATCAATTGCGGAAAAGCATCTAAAACAACACCCTCTAATCTGAACGAAGCTTCAGCCGACCTCTCCATTGCAGATTTATATGCTAATAAGTCTTTTGAATGAAAATCAAAAGTTTTCCCTAAAACCAGTGACGTCATAATATTAATTAGACCAATGCAAATATCTTTGTTTAAATCCCAATAATGACTCCTATCTTCACCAAGTTCGCAAAGTCTTTTGACAATTGTTTTAGTAACAGCTTCATACTTATCTATTTTCAAAGCTCTTGCAACACTCTTCTTTTTCTTTAGCCAATCTTCAGTAACATGTCCCATAGCAATACCGGTATGACCATCGGTCAAGAAAGAGAACCTAAACATTTCTGGTCTTGCCGAAAAATCTAAGGACTTCCCAGAAAGAACTGTTCTAATTTCATCAGCTCCGCTGACAATTATAATTTTCTTACCCAACAACCTAATACTTATCAACGGTCCATAATACGTGCTCCAACTTTCAAAAGTTTTGTGTATAGCTTTTGATCTTATTTTATGCAAAGGGCCAAGAAGCGGAATGCCCATCGGACCAGGTATTCTATTTCTTTTCTTAAAAGCAAAGGAAAAGAAAAGTGCAATAAGAATGCTTAAAACAAAGCATGTTGCATATTCTTTAAATTCCATCTCACTTCTTCGGAGTACCAATATCGATTGAATTTTGAATCTATTGGAGAGTGCCACCTGTCGTAAATTCTAGACTGTAGGAGCCTGGTAAAATAAGTTTAGAGTTCTAATTTAAGAGACAAACTAAAGTTCGAGCCAGAATTGACAACAGTACCTAAAGTGAGCACTATAAAAAGACCTTGAAACTTCTTTAAGTGTCTTTTTTGTCTAATCATTCGTTCACTTTTTTACAATTCTTTTGTTTTGTTTTCAAGGTTTCTTAAGTCTATTATGTAAAAAAAAAAACATCAAATAAGATACGCACGCCACCTACATTTAAGAAATTAATTATAATATTCTTAACGAGCTATTGTTTTGATTAAAATACCAGAAAATAGATTTATTAATAAAGAAAAATGCTAATTATAAATATATATAAATATCACTTTCAGTGGTCATTTTTCACTGTTTTTCTTCTTTCATATTTATTAAAAAGAGACTGGCCGAACTCTATTAATTTTACTTAATGCATTTGTATTTATATTTTGATTGATATGATTCGAGTTGATAGTTGAGGAGACTTCTAATGTATTTCCGCCCCCTCCTTCATTCGTAATTCTGTTATTATCAATTTCCTCATAAGCCGGAGGTGGATCTTCTGTGTACGGGGGAGGTGTTGGAAATGTTGATACCTCCGGTGTTGGTAATGCCGTTCTATTAACTTGTCCAAAAATATTAAATGGCCTACGGAGATTTCCGGCTGCACTTATGCTTCCCTCATATTCTCTATAAAAACTAAAGCATAGTGTAACCACGCAGAAAGAGAGAATAATTAAGACAGAGACAAAAATGATGCTTTTTGACCAACCAAATTCTTCGTCTAAGCCTTTTTCATCATTCTCACGTGGTCTACAACAAAGTCGTCCATATTTTTTTACGTTCCTACAGCATGCACTATAATTAGGTAGGCTGCAATTGTTTATCAGATTGTACGACCGATAAGATAGTGAACTGTTAGAGACAAAAATACAAGATTTCTGAGGTAGTTTACACTGAAAATAGCAAATTTCGGTTGTTACTTCTATTGTTATTATTGAAAGAAATAGTATTTCAAATATCATTTTGACATGCCTATTGTATAATAATTTCACTTTTAAATATATTGAATGTCATATATAAACAATGATTTTATTATTTTATTTATTTAATATTATGAATTCAAGAAAAAGAAGCTGGGGGTGAGTTCTTAGATTGATAAGGGATATATTGAGAAAGTGAAAGAATGACATAAGTTGAAATGTAGGCTAAAATATAGACAGATATATATATATATATATACTTGTCTTTGACTTCTCCTTTTGGTGTCAATATCTATTACGGAAGAAATTAGAGAAGTATTTTTATTTTATTTGAAAATCAAGACAAAAAACGTAAATCATATCTTAGAAACTAATTAAATTAGTGCATGGAACCTCTTTCATATATAATAAATCAACGACTGCAGCTAATTTTTCATTATACTTAAGTAATTTGCTTACAGAATACATAACATTTTTGGTACAGTTTTTACGAATTGTGACAGATGCCAGTTCGGCCAAGGTTAAAGGATTTTTCAAAAATTGACGAACCGATGAATACAGATTCTGATCATACTGACGAAGAAATATTAAGTGCTCTTCGTTTGGCCTATAACCATGATAGATTAGTGACATAATAAAATCAGTGGCAAGGTTACGTTGTGACCATAGACGATTTAATTGACGTTTTAAAACTTGAAGTCGACTAGTAGCACCATCTGGTAATAACCTGAGAGTAATTTCTGGCCTTCCATCGGCCTGTAGAAGTAACCTTAAGATTTTACTCGCCTCCTCTGAATTAAGATAAAGCTCTTGATCAAAAACCGATTCGAATTCCCTGAATATTCGAGAAAACAGAGAAATATATCAAATATACAAATATATATACTGTATAAATATAATTTCTCTACAATTAATAATTATACACAAACTTAATCTCAGCTTCTTCCTGTAATTGGTTCCGTATTTCCTGTAATCGCCTTCTCTTTAGTTTTGCCGGTGAGGAAGACGCGGCCCTGCGATTTTTCACTCTCAAAGGGGAAGGTGAAGGTGATCTTGACCTAGGTAAAACAATTAGTGAGCCCCTTCCCTTTTTTTTCAACGCAGTCTGTTCTATTCGGTGGGTGACAATGTCTAATGGAATGACTTTATTTATTTTCCAAATCCAGCAGCTTCGGATATTAGCGCCAGCTTTTAGAAAGCATAAAACCATTTCGGATGTACTGTACTTTGAGGCGTATAAAAGAGGAGACATTCCCAAAGGGCACGGAGATACAGTCTTTGTAGATATGCCTTTTCGGAGAAGAGCGTCTACTGCTTTAGATTTTCTGCAATATAACAGGCTTCGTTGCTTTATGCTTGTCAATGACACATTTTTTTTGCATAAAAGGAAACTAGCGGAAGAAGAGTAAATGTAGAGTATATTAAATACATACCTAAAGTGTATAGCCTCAAACAGTGCGGTTCTTTTATAACGACTAGTATCAGGGATATCACATTGTGCTCCGTTATCAATTAATAGTTCTATAATCTTTTCACCATCCTCATCCGAAAAAACTGCGTAATGCAGAGGTGTTTTGCCTTCATCACTAAGGAAATTAGGACAAACACCTGACTGCAGTAGTACTTCGACTGCTGAAACATCCGATGTTCGTATCGCTTGAATCAGCAGTTTTTTTAATTTTTCGGGAGTTAAAAGTCTTCTTATCAGAGTGTTAATATCCGAATGATTTTGTCCCATTTCTCTTTTTCTCGTGCGCTATGTTTCTGTACGCGTATGCACGCTACAAAAATCTACTGCAACGGAGAAGTGCACTGATCATTGAATATTGATTATGTGAATAGTGTTCGTGCCATAAAGAACTAATAACGCTATTCGTATGCGATTTTTGCAGTACAGGTAAACGTCGATACATGTTCTTGCAATTAAACTGGTATCAGTTTGTCGCAAAAAATTTCAAGATACTTTTGATTTGCATATTTTTAGATTAGCTTTTCTGTGTATCCGGTTGAAATTTAGATTCGCTATTCTAATTAATCAAGTTAAAGAAGGCTAGCATTAAAGATTATGCTCCTTATTTCAGAAAGAGAAAGCTGTATTCCTTACTAAATAAGTGTATTTGCACTCTTGGTCGTTTCTAATGTTATTTTCTCTTTCTGAAAATCCTTTCAAATGTTCTCCAAGTGCCACATAAAAGATGATTGAATATGTGTCTAATTGAATTGTTTATATCGCGGCTGACGTAAATGAAGATGCTAAGCTCTTTATATTATAGAAATATTAAGAATTAGAATATCCAAATTACTAATTTTAATGAGTTACCTGAAAGAGGGTTTTTTCTTTTCGCTGAAGCTAAGAAAGAATATAAAATCTATTAGTATCTTTTTCTTGCTCATCTCTCCTCACCGACTCAATATCTTAATATCCGCATCATTTATTTTAAAGTATTCTATATAAACCTTTCACTTATGTGTAAGGTTTCTCTAAGCTATCAGAAGACCTTCAATTGATTTTATATAAAATTTTCTATATATGGCATTTAAATATTTAATATTTTAATAGATTTATTGCTATATTATATCATTGAACCATCCCCCACCGATAAATAGTATATATATATATATATATATATATACCACTTTAATGATTAGTAGAAGATAGCTTTAAAAAAAGCCAATAAACATTTGCATTATATTATCAGAGCCGATTTAATTTGTTAGAATTGGATGAAAACAAAATATTCAAAGAAATGTGTACTCTTCACTTTTGTTAGCAAATCAAAAGAAGGTCAGTATCAAGGTTCTAACGTGCGTTGCGGTTGAATTATAGGTATATAAATATAGTACACTTTATACTACTGTACTAATGGGAGCATCATCATCATCAGAATAAATAATTAATAGAAACTATCACGCCATCTGTAAATAGAAAAGCATATTATTTAATTGCGTTTGTCTTCATCGCCATCTGTAGATCAGATCATTTATCAGAAATTTTCTATTATTAATATATAAATAAACAGCTCAAATAAAAAATAATGTAAAGATTTTTTAAGAGAAAATATAACTAATTAAAGAAACTGACGTCAAATATGAAATTATTTATTACACATTCAGAAAATGTAAACATTACGTAATTCCATCAAGATCAACTTCCTCATGACATTTTAAAAACTGTTGTAATTTTCTCATCAAACTTCGTTAATTGGAATAAAATTTCAAAATTTTTGAGAACGATCAAGGCAATACGAAGAGTGCGTGAGACAGTTTTATGCTTTTTCAGCAGGATTTGCAATAAAATACTAAAACCTTACTGTACTCCCTACCCTCCTCTCTTTCTCTCTCTCTCTCTCTCTCTCTCTCGCTTGCTTGCTCGCTCGCTTACTCTCACTCTCTATATCCCTGTCTTTATGTTTCCTTCTCTCTCTCTATGTTTCTCTCTCTCTCTCTCTCATCTCTCTCTCGTTCTTCATATCATTTCTGCACTATAACTCCTTATATCTCTTATGGAGAATATTTATCCTCTTAAAATATGTCCTGCATCTATATATAATTCTTGGAAAACATAAAAACGATACATACTTTTTTTATTGACAGAAAATATAAAAATAATTTAAGAACCCTTTCGAAACAAAACAAGACATATAATTACAATTCAAGAAAATAAGAAATAGGCCTAATTTTTTTATTTCACTTGTATAGAAATAAAAAAAATGAATATTCTTAGCATGCAAGAAAGAGGCAGAATTAAGGCTTTGATGCAACAAAAGAAGCCAATAAAGAAGTTTCCTTTTTCAGCAGTATACCATTTGCAAAATTTAGGTGTTTGTATATGTAATCTTTTTTTGTGACTGCTAAGATTTAAGAAGAAATGATGAAGACAGGAAAGATCTACTTTGGGAAAAATAAGATAGATGGACTCATAGAATGGAAAAAAGGAAGAAAAGAAGGAAAGAAAGAGAGAAATAAGGAGTTATAGAAAAGACGCAAGGACCGAGAACAAGATAGCTAATTAACAAAAGAACTAGCCGCTTCTCTAAAAAATTTAAGCTGTTTCTTATTTTCTAACCGTTATTGGTTTCTTTGATATTTATGTAGGTTAATTCTTTATCCAAATGATCATTGTTATCTATATTTCAATAGATAGTTATCATTTCGGAAGGATAATTTCTCCAATATCAAGTCAGTAGGAAATAATGAATTATTAATTAGACGAAATATATATAAATCTAAAAAATAAGATTATTATTATAATTATTATCATCTTTATCATTAAAATTCTCTACCCAACGATACAAAGAAAGTCAGAAGCTCATATTCTTTGTCGTCTTTTTATAGAAAGAACAGAATTACATTTTTAATTGTTAACTTAATTTCAGATGGACTAGAGTTGCCACTTTGTAAAAGATAAGTTCTTTTAATCCCTTTCTATACAAGGTAATAGGTTGCTTAGATAAAGAAATTTGTACCGATGAAATTTCGCTCAACTGACTGACGCTATTCATATTTCCTCAAACGAACAGGCTTTGTAGTTTGCTTTTCTTCTTTTTTTGTCCTTTCCATTTTTATCCTTTACTTAATAAATTACTTTGAAAAGTTTCTAATTGGGTAATATAAAAATTCCTTATCTATCCCACTTTAAACTATATATAAAATGATTATGACAATTATTATTATTATTATAACTATCGCTTTAGAATACAATTTGTAGTAAAAGTGCTCTGTACGCAAGGCAAATGAACAAAAGATGTAAACAAAGTGAAAAGGTAGAGATAAATCTATTGTACTGAACATTAAAAAGAAAAAGAGGAAATTAATTATTAAGAAGAAATTGACTTTGCAATTATTGTTATTATGTGTAATAAAAAGTTAGTTTTGTCTAAATTTTGGATGATTTTGTTGTACAACTAAGTTATTCAAAAAGGTTAATTTATTCCTCTCATTCACGCGTTTAATCAAGTTCTTTCTTTGTAGTAACTTAATAAATGGGAACCCGAATTAAAGTACTTGCTTTTTTAAAGGGTGTGGTGTATGATATTGCCTGGTAGATAGAGCACTGGATGAACCACATGAGTAAGCAGACTTTTTCCTTCATAAACATTTCTTTAGTAGATAAATCTTTTTGTATCGAGGGTTTTGAAATTTTCAGTTGTTAATTAACCTCTCATAAACATTAGACATTTAAATATGCTCCCTTTTCTGTGACGCCTGTCTTTCGCATATCATTATTCATGAGGCGTGGGTGGCTCTTAGAGACGCTAAAATCACTTGTAGAGAAGCAGTAGAATCGTTCACTCCACAATTTAATTATCAACTTTGAAATATGTTTAGAATTCTAGTTTGCTCTCTATTTCTTTCATTCTGTTTGACCGACGATTCGAGATCATTTATCATTAGACTAAAGTACATTCAAAGTGCAATAAGCAAAATGAAAGCTCATAGAAGTTCACCAAATGCTTGTCAACCAACTATGGAAAACTTGGGTTCAATTGTCCGCCAGCTAGATAAAAGCTTTGACGAAGAGGAAATTTTAAGAACAGTCAAGAAAAATATTAGTCCGAAGGTTAGTTTGTTACTATATTTTCCATTTTGATTTAATGACTCCTAGAAAGTAGGATATATTTAATCAATAATATTCACTTTTACTTAAATCGTCTTAAGGACAATTCACGTAAAAAGGTAAAAAATGAATTCCAAACTGTAAACGACTTTTAAGACAAATAAAAAAAAGATCAATAACTTTGAAAAGAAGAGGAAAAAACAAAAATAAAAACAAAAAAAGAATATCTTCAGGAAGCAATGATAATAGTTAGTTAAAGAGTTGAAAATTTCGTAATGACTATAGTAAAGACTATCTGAATAAAGAAATTGAATCATATTTCTTCGGATAAGATTACATTTTAATGAAAATTCTTTCTCCAGAAATGCTAAATATAGAAGTTAATTATCCAATAAATGTGGTCGAGGAGAATTTAAAATATAAACCAAACTTTATTTTGCTTATTAAATCTAAGAAAATGAAATTGGAAAACAAAATCAAATTTTAAAAAGGCTTAACACATTTAATTCTCTTTAATTATATTGAAAAGTTCTTATTTTTACATTTCCTACTTTTTTTCTTCTTCTTGTTCTTCTTCTTCTTTTTTGTATAATAAGTATTTATCATATAAATGTATAATTTAATAATGTAATAGCTTTTTTCGATTGTATATAACATCGATATATTTACTCTATAAATAATTCTTTCAATAATCTAGAATTAGTAGGGCAAATAATACGAGATATTAGTCTTATTAATTGCTTTTCTTTACCATTATATAGTTACCGATAAAAGATTTGAACATTTCGAAAGCGCCGTGGACTCCGGTTAGTTTCTTTTCCCTTCTATTCTATATTCTTTATAAAAGTTTTTATTATATTCTTTTATATAATGAAATTGAGTAATTACGTGATTTAGTTTCAGAGAAACAAAGTGACAATTGCAGTAATTGACGGTGATAAAAAGGAGGTTAAAGAATTAGACATTTCTAATGATGAAACTGTAAAAACAGTCTTATCAAAATTAAGTAGAACGCAAAAAGTTGAAGTATATAGAGGAGATAATTGTTCTGTTTTAAAAAGGGTTGGTAAAATATTCAGTGAAAAATGGTCGATCTCTGTTCAAAATTCGCAAGGTCTACCTAAATATCAATCAAATGAATCATGTGTTCCTTTAGACGAAAAAATTAAATATGGATATAAAATCATTCTAAGTTCAAATTAAAAATAAAGTTCTCTGTGGGCATATGAGTTATTTTGCTTAGAATTGGCATTCTTTTTCCGTTTTATGTATTGAAAACTTCTATATGTATATTCTTATGTATTAACAGAACATATTTCTTTAAACATTCAACTTTTCTAGTGCCTCTTGTTAGATTTCATTCCAGTTCAAAGATGGTTAATGTACGCGTATATATTTGTCCAGTTAACTCATATAGGTTTGTCTATATATCTATATGTATACGCTAATGTTATACAAACTTGTATCTATATATAAACTATATAAATGTATGTTATATACATAAACTGCATATTGCTAACTTATAAATGCATACATAGATACAATATCAGTGAATATAATCTTTAAGTTTCTAACTTTCGTTAATGATCTCTGAAACTTGATAATCATTCTAAGAGATTTAAGAAGACTCAAACGCTGACGAAGATTATTAATTTGATTCCAGTCAAATGCACTAGAGGGCGCTGTTTTAAGTTATATGTCAAAAAAAAGATAGTGTTTTACATTAGCAAATGTCCAATGTGCATGAAAGAAATGAAAATGATGATGATGATAATCAAAGAGCTTTCTTTGAATTCTTGTCTGCCTATTATACATTTAAAACAGTTTGCTTAAAGAAATATATTGTATTAATATACTGTTTACATATATAAAAAGCATATCTACTGCAAAGTTTGTGCTTTGTGTTTATATAAATATATATATATACAATATATATGAAAAGAAATATCTATCTGTCTATCTATATTTATATACATATATATATTCTAAGAGAAAAGGAAAAGCATGCAAAGTTCCATGCTTCGTTAATCATAATGAAGTACAACCGATGACAATTAATGTTTATCTTACTGTGCTTTTAGAAACTGTAGGTATATACAATACAAGCATTTTACTCTTCTATATATATATATATATATATATACAGTATAAAACATTTAAACGGAGCTTGTTCTTTTTTAAAGCAAAACAATTTAATATAAATAAAAAAAAAACAACAACAAGAGAAAGAGAGACAAAAAACACGATAGATACAATTCTATAAACAGAATTTATTTTTTTATGAGAATGTCATTGAATATCCCTTTTCTACGAATGGAAAATACTAACAAAAGACCTTGTAGAATAAAAAATATACCACAAGAATAATTAGTGCAAGTAAAATAACACTTAAAAATGATTAATTGCTTAATAAAAAAGAAAAGAAGAAAAAGTATCTTGAAATTTATTGCGTAATCTTTTATTTTTAATGGAAACAATATCTTTAAGAGGTTTTCACCTTTAAATACAAATGTACATACATACATCTATATAGCGTAAATGTATATACGTTTGATAATAATTTGTATTGGAAAACGGTATATATCTATAATATTTTTATTTTGCGCTAGATAATTTGTATAACAAGATATTTTTATCTTCTTTAATAGCTTAATGCAAAACAAAAAATATTACGTAGTTAGTAAAAAAATTTCTTATTCTTTCTTTTATAAAAATATGCTCTGTTCTTTTCCATTTGCTTCATTCTCACTCTTTCTCGCTCTCTCCTTCTTTCTGTTAATTGTTACCTTCCTTATTCTCGTCCCAAATCTCAGATAACTTTCTTATTGAAGTTTTAACGTTTTGCTGTCTTACAAGTCTCTTTGTATTTTCCTCTTGAATATCGTCTTTAACATAGGGCGTGGGCATTCTTTGAAGTTTTGGCTTGAATCTTCTTTCAGGAACATTATTAAATTTAACGTTTCTATCTCTTGAATCGTAGGAAAATTGGGAATATTTAATAGGTTCCTTCATTGATCGCTTCTCATCAATTTCAACTGGAGCTGAAGTAGTACGTTTTAAATTGCTATCGGATGAAGACATAATGATATTCTAAATTCTTTCTCTTCAGCCAGTCATTTATATACTCATTAAGCTCGTGATTCACTCTATGAATTGTTTTTTTTTATATACATTATTATATTAACATGCTTTTCATACCTGTAGTAATCATCTGGGGAAGTTATGGGAGTAATATTATCTATTATTATTTAAATTTTAAATGGAAACTCTTTTTTCAATTATTTTATTAGGTTTTTTAATCAAATGTAACCGAAAGATTCATTTTCATCAATAGTTTCTGGTTTTGCTCGTGTTGGAAATGACAATAAATTCAAGAGCAAACATGAAAATATTTATATACATATATTACTAATATATATAAATATGTATAATAGAGATTGAATATTTTTAATAATGTGCTTTGACCTTGTATAGTAGTATTTGATATATTCTTTTCTCAACACAAATACAATTGGTTCAGTAATGAATATACAGTATATTAAATTAAATAACTATGTCTGAATTACAAACTTGTAAAGGAGATGGCGCTTCCTATTAGTTTTTTATCATATAACAGGTGCAAAATGTATCGTATATACGTATTACAGGGGTAAATATACATACATATGTATACTGAGTATAAGTTAGTATAGCCCTAATTTAACTACCAGGTACAAAACAAAGCAATTTTCAAGTAATTTTTTCTTACAACATGCAAAAAAGAATACAGGTATAATTCTAAAGTTGTTAATGCGGACTAAGTTGATTTAATTCAACGTTAAACATTTGAAAGTGAATTTTCCAATTTCCTTCTAAATTTTTCATCCAGATTTCCGTATAACTGCAAAATGAAGAAAAATATAGTATATTCGCATGTCAAGTATTAAAAAATTATTTTGCCTAGAGGAAATATTATTAAAATATATTATAAAGAGAATAATAATCTAAGGAAAATAGGTCAAAAAGAAACTTTTTACCATAAATAAAAATATGCCTTTTGGCTAAGATCTGAATATTTTAGATAAATTTAATTATTATATTATATTAACTGTATAGTAGATAGCGTAGGATATAAATGCATATAATTATATTATGACAATAAGAAGTTACTTGAATAAAATTTACATAAATTAATGAGTAAATGGCTTCTTTAAGGTTTAATTAATGTTAAAAAGAGTTACGTATATACTTCTTCATAGAAGTTCTCGAATTTTGTAATATTTTATTAGTTTTCAAGAAAATAAAAAACAGTATCTGGAGTTGACGCAAACAGGATGTTACTCCGGTTTTATAAATTGAAGTAACTACATACTTTATTCTCCACTAGACACAAAATATAAGTGGTAAAGAAAGAGTAAAATAGATACTTTAAGAATCGTGAATTAGGTCTTGGGGCTTGGATTGGATGTAACTGAAACTTTGGAAATACGTTATTTAAAAGTCTTATGTCTTGTTCTTACTATGTTTAGGATGCAATTCGAATTACTTATGACTGAAAGAAAAACCCTTTAAAACGATTCCCAAAAAACTCTTTAGTTCTCTTTTCTTTCAAATACAGGATATAATCTTTCTAAGCTGTTTTTTTCCTCAACCATTTTTAGGATAACTCTTTTTCCTTCTTTTTATCTTATCCCTCTATCTCTATCTCTATCTCTATCTTCCTTCCTCTCTCTCTCCCTCTCTTTTAGTAAAATTTACTTGGGTAAATATTTTTTTATGAGTTAAGTTCAAAAAATTAAAAAAATCACTTCTGAACGAGAAAACAGTAATTATGCAATTGAATTAAAAATTGCTAAATGAATTGAGAAGGGGAAAAGAAAGAGACAAGAAAAAAAAAACTCATCTGTGTTATATTTTGCTTAGATGGAATTTCTTATAGTCCTTTGAGACTATTTTAACCGCCTAAGTGATTACCCCAGTGACTCTGATGAATAGAAATAGTGATAAACATTTACTTAATAAGCTTTGTTTTACTCATCAATTTATCTCTTTCTTTAAACTTCTTATTTAATTTGGAAGTTCTAAAACTTCGTATTAAAATGATATGAAAGAAGAGGGAAAAAAATAAGATAATCCCTTACAATCCGTGAACTTTCTTTGCTGTTTTATAATCTTTACCGCCGAGTTGTATAAATCGACCAGTTACTATTGCTGATCTTTTTGAATCCGAAAATTTTATATTACTAAGTAATCTGGAAAGATTTCCAACTGCAAAGTCTTCTCTATTTTGTTGTAAAATTCTTTTAATATTCTTCCTTCCTTGGACAACATCGCTTCCGGGAGCATATAAGATAGCGTCGTTATCGTAGTAATTTTCCACGTTAGAAAATTTTTTTTTATTGTATTTACCAGTCCAATCGAGTATTTTCCCTTTGAATACTTTCATTCCCATATGATCAATGATGGCTATATAAAGAGGACGAAAACTCTTAACCTCTATGTACTGGATAATGTACATATAGAATAAAAAAATACTGTATATATATATATATATACATTTATACACTTTACCGCTTAGATATTAATAAATCAAACCTTCTGAAATATAACAAAGGTAGAAAAAAAGAACGAGCACGGTTAAAAACTTCATTGTCGTTTCACTGGCAGTAGAATCCAAGTTTTAATAGTAATAGTACTTGCCTTTTTAAAAGAAGAAAATCTATTGTTAGTTAGAATTTCAGACCTCTAGATGAGGGAGATAGATTTCTATTATTCAATAAGTTTGTTTTTGTTTCTATGTATTTAATTATTACAATAGTAAAAATAGACAAATGTTTGTTTTCTTATGAAATCTATAGAGAAATTTCTCTTTACTACTTGAACTTTTCATAAAAATGATTAAAATTGAATTTGGGATAAAAAACAATAAAATAGGATTTATTGACTTATATAATATGTATATATGCAGTCTTTCGTCGCCATATTCAACGGCTAGGCTTAAATAAATCGAAATGTAACATATTGAACGACTCTTCTTTGTTGTTTTTCTCTTTAGTTTAAAAGATTCCTTACATAGGGGTTTTTTATGTTATGCATGTAAAATTTCCATTTTTTTTTTGGCTTATACTAAAACTAATATTAAGCAAATATTAATTAGAACGTTATTTCTAAATGATTATAAAGAATTGGCTTTATAATTAACTGTATAGAAAATATAAGAGGATGTTAATCAAAAGCTTAGGAAGATAATTATTGAACTGTAAAAAATAAAAATATTACCCTTCCCCTTACCTTTATATCAAAATCTATTAATGTTGCTTTTATATGAAGAATAACGATAATCTCTAGTAGTTGGGATCTGGCTTTGAATTAGAAAAAAACGTTAGCTGCCTATTGAAAATGTAGTTTATAATTTATTATCTCATTTGGTCAGTAATTAATTTATGCAGCTTTTAATATCAATTGATTATTTCGTACTGTTAACGGAAAACAATAACAGTTTATCCTACTCAAATCGAAAGGGAAAGAACTTCATTAAACGATTAGAGAGTTATTGATTGAAGGTTCTAATGTATTTCCGTGGAAAAAAGAGTCTTTAATTGAAGGAATAACAAAATTTTCTACTTTATTCATTAATAATAATTAACCAAGGCTATGATAAAATACTCTAATAAAGAAAAAGTCTTTTAGATAGAGTTTTTATAAAGTGAACTTTATCGCTAACAATCGTTATTCCTAATTTTATATTATTTTAATATGCATAACTAACTGAACCTACGTAGATTTCTTTTCCTTAAATAAGTAGCTATTCTATTTTATTAACCCTTATCACATTGTTCGATGACCTTGGGCTCGAAATCCTAGAAAGGTTAAAGTCAGTAGACCTGACAAACGAGGTTTGTCAATCAATAAAGACAGCCAGTTTCCGAAATTACTCTATAACCTCAGACAGGGAAGTAGCAGGGGTAAAATAGCATCGAAAAGCTTCGTGCCTTGTTATAGTTTGTACTCTGTTTGCTTTAGTAGCGTGAAAAAGTAAACAAAAATAACAATACCGGTTCGTACATCTGTCGTATTTTTTTCTAGTTTCACTCACGCTACTTCTTTTTGTACTACTCCTTTTTTATCTTTACATTTCACCTTCTCTCCCTCCCCCTCCTCTAAGATCAAGTTTGTCAGATACGTTGAACTTTACCCAGGGAAAACAAGACAAATCAGTCTTGAAATCTTTGCTAACTTTGCCTGGTTTTCTAATCTGTTTATTTTATTGTCTCTTTCTATTAGAGACAATATACTTAATTATTAAATAATTCAATTAATTGAATTATTACAAATTCCCTTCTACTTTTGTATTTAAATCAACAAGAAGATCAACTGTAAAACATTACTAACTATATAATATACTATTGATTATGGGAAAACACCCTTATGCTTGTCAATTGTAAAACAAACCGGAATCGACTTGGCTTAAGGACTGTTAAATTAATCAATTTGGATTAAAAGTTTGCTAAAATAAACTATTAAATTATAAAGAAAAATAATAATAATAAAGTAAACTTTTTCAAAAAATATTCATTCATTTTCCATCTATCTTTTTCTATTATTACCTTTTTTCTGTATTTAATATTAAGTGAAAATTATCCAACATACACGCCTAATAACCTATGAAAATTGGGGCTGTTATTTAATATAATTAGGCCTACTATAATAATGGATATAACTAGCTAAATTTTGTTATCCTGAGAAGTAAAATTCAAAATAGATGTTTTTCATAAAAAATATTCTAAAATAAAATGGTAGGTAACTCATTCGCTAAATCCCAAACGAGGCTGCTCTGAAGCGATGCAACATGTAAGATAGGCGTCCAAAACGTCAAATATTGTCGTCGCTTGTTATAGATCGTATAGCTTCTTTCTTTTTTTCCACAAAAATTTTTTTCTCTAAATTTCTCTTAACGAAAAGAAAATTGCTAGAAAGAAATTTAAACATTAAACTTACATAAAGTGGAAAAAAGAATGTTTATCTAAAAATAATATAAAAGTATTTTTAGATCACGTGACTTTTTACTTTGTAAGAAAAAGAAGAGGAAAAAATATATTTTGCAGTTGGTTTAGGGAGGTGATAATCGCCATTGGCCCAAGTTTATTTAGAGAATATACGCCTTGATGTTTGAAAAAATATTAACGTTTTGAAAAGCAGGTGAGTAACTTTAAAAATTACTTTCTCTCTTGTTTTTATACATAACAAAGATTTGTTGTGCGTGTGTGTGTTTGGCATATGTTACTGATATTTTTATATAAATTTCTACAATAGAATTACTTCCTTTCGTATTTGTAATTTTACATAGTTTGTTTATTATTTCTTCTATTCTTTTCTTACTACCGTTTCTATCTGTTTTTTCCATTTAAGCTTTTTCCGCTTCTTCACCCCCTCTCTCTCTCTCTCTCTCTCTTTAAGTGCTTATGAGAATTCAGGATTTTACGAAAGATTATTCAATATATTCCTATAACTTTTATGTATAAATTACGTATAATAGTATAATATTATGGATAGAGAATGTATTCCTCTAAATTATTTTACCTTGAAGAGAGAAACTTGAAAAAAATACAGAAAAGGAATCTTATATACTTTTTTCCCAACCATTTCATTTCATTTCATCCTTTTATTTTGTATAAAAAGCTTTTCTACATATGTGGTATCTAGAAAAAGGAAATTCAATTTGTCTATCTCTCTACTCTATGTAACATTTAGTCCTGTATCGAAAGAAAATAATCAATGTTTTTACTTTTTACTGTCTTGATGAGAGATATAAAATAGTTATCATCATTTCAAATATATATATATACAGTATACCTATATGTAAATATAAAAATGTATTAGTAAACTATATATCAGTTTTTTAGAATAGTATGTATATATATAGCATATATACAGTACAAATATATTAGTATATAAAAGCTTTAAAGAATATTCTCTTCTGCTTTTACAACTCCAAAACTCCCAAATTAGACATAAAAAAATAAAGAAAAGGAAAAAAATTGTACATTTAACGGTCTTTTCTAGTTTTATATAGCGTTTGACAGAATGATAGAAAGATAGAATGAATGGATGAAAATAGAAAAGGGGACAGGGGTACAGACTGAGAGCAAAATGAAATAGGGGACAAGAGATAAAAGAATGGAATAGAGAGAGAGAGAGAGAGTGAAGAAGCAAACAGGAGAGGGACAAGGAGAGAAATGATAAACAGACGAGAAAACAGAAATCTTGGTTGTTCTTTTCTTCATATGCCTTTTGTCATACAACAATCTATCAAACAAAGGCGAAAAATTTTTAGTAGATGATTCCTAGAGACATTCACTGAAATATGTTTTCTTTGAGCAGTTACTTCATTAAAATTATTGAAAGGAATTAATTAGTAATAAATTTACATTTAATTAAAAGCTCCATAATTATGTCTCCTTTCTCTCATTTTACTTTTACTTATTCGTCTCCTCATAGTATTTCTACCCTTCTCTCTCTCTCTCTCTCACTCTGCACTTTCTCCCTTCTTTTCCTGTCCTTGTCTCTCTTTAAACATTAGTTTGACTTTTTTTTCTTCATAAGATTTTAATCAGTAGAGATTTTTGCCTTTAAGCCAGTTTACAGTCCATCAATAACGGTCCAGTGAACAATCGTGTTATCTTTTAATGGTTTGTTTCATATAAAAGTTCTACTGCTAGATTCTTCGTAATAAAGCTTGCTCACCTTAGTTCTTTCTACCGTTTACGAAAACTCTCAAGTGTTTTTATCAGATTAAAGATAGACATAATAGAGATTTCATTAATAAAACCTTATTTATATATTCCAATTGCATTTATTTTTAATTACTAAATACTATATTTGTACTATTAAACAAATTGGATGGTATTTTAATCACTTGTTTAAGTTTTTTCATTTATTGCTAAAGAGGGGAGTATTTAGACTTTTTATTAAAAGGAACATAAGGGTGCCTAGAAAAAGGACGAGAAGGAAAAGGAAAAAGAATAAAAGGGTGAGAGAGTGAGAACGAGGGTGGATAGAGGGAGGGTGAGAGAGACTTTAATCGGATTATTTCAGTTGGCTAATTAGACTTCTTACTAAGTTAACAGTACTATGTAGAAACTTTTGTGTTGAATAAATCACTTGTCTCTTAACGAGAACAGGATAAATATCAAGAGTAGTACAAAACCTAACAGATTTACCAAATATAAAATGTAAAGGAATTTTATTGGCGTGTATTTTGTAAATTATACATTTAGAATATCAAAACTATAAAGAAAATATAAGAAGAATATGCTAATAAAAAATTCTCACATTCTCTAAATAAAAGTCTAATGATGCATAACCTTTAGTAAATTTTGCCTAGTCTATGTTTATAAAATTTTGTTTGTAAACATTTAGATGTTTTAAAATGAGAAAAAGTAGGTTCTTATTTATAATTATTAGTAACGTTTATCTCTGACAGATATCGGAGATGAGAACTTACTAACCTTCCGTTTCCATTAGACTCATTTAATTATAATATAAACTTGAAGGTAATTTTCATAAAAGAATTGCAAAATTTAAATGCAATACACGTTTTTTCTCATATTATAAACCTCAAGAGATCAATGAACTGACACTCTAATTATCAGTAAAAGTGATGATTTTTGTTGAAAAAAATTTATGAGAATCATAATTTCACACTAAAGTATATATGAAGATAGCCGTCACTGTTAATAGTAAACAAGGAGTGTCCTCAAAAATTCCCAAAACATGTATACTGAATATCAGAATACTGTATATTCAGATATATTTAAAAATAATTCTGAATTTATTGGTACAAGTATAAAAGTTATTGTTTTCCCGCCGTCAAATTTATTGCTTTTTTTCTCTATCTCTCTATCTCTCTTAGTCTCTCTGTCTGTTCGGCTGTCTCTCTGTCTTTCTGTCTCTCTGTCTCTCTCTCTCTTTCTCTATTTGTCTCACTGTAGTATTGTAATAGTGTAAAAAACAAGAATATTCTACACGATGCCGTCTCATTATAATTTTCATTGTTCCATCTCACTAAACTAAATCTAAAGATCAAGTTCAAAGAGAAATGGTCTAGTTGCTTAGGGAAATATGGTTTTTCTTGAAGAGAAATCAGTCGTTGCGTTACTCTTTTCCCTCTTTCTGTTATTTTTCTTTCTTTCTCGTTTCCTATCTATTTTCTCTGAACGTACGTTCTTTCTTAAAGGAAAAGACCATTATGTAAACTGCTCTCTAGGATGAAAAATATAAAATTACTCTTTTCACGCATCTTGCAACTGCTAACTCGTTCCCATTCGTGACTGTAAATAATTTTAAAGTTTATGGTTTATAATAGCTGTCAATTTTGAGTAAATAAATTTAATGAGTAGTCGTGTAGTTAGAATGTTAATAAAAGTTAATTGGGTTTCTGATTGCATTACGACCATGTGGAATAGTGAGAAAATGAAATTAAGTGTGCAAATTAGAAATGGTATGTGTTAAATATATTAATTATGCGTATAAACGTCAATTATAGATATATTGTTAGAGAGATTTAATCACTTATTGAAATTTACATGGTAAAACCCATGATACTAAAGAAAAGGACAAGAGACTTGTAAAACTATGACCAGGTGATCAGGATGAAAAACAAATCCTAAAAATAATATTATATTTATGTAAAAAGACAAGAAAATAAGTCAAATGATATGTTCTTTGTATTGAATTAATGCCACTGTAAGAACACCAGCAGGAACTTGTTAATTACAGAAAATAATCACTATATACTTGGATATATTTTAATTATCATCAGTCTTGAAACACATTTCTCTTAACTTGGTATACTTAAAAATAACTTAAATAATATATTCATTATATTCTTTCTCACCTATAAAAATAAACTCCACATCTCTCTCTTTCTCTCTTCCCTCCTTCTCACCTGTCTCTATCTTACTCTCTTTTTTATTCTCTCTTTCATTCTTCTCTCTCCTTAATTTCTCCACGTACTAGATGCACTTGGAATAAGAAAGTAGATCAAATTACAGGAAATGACTTAGATAAATAGTCAAACTGAACTTAAACCTTACTGAACAAAACATTTAAATTTCATCAAAAATTTACTTCTCTATTGGAAATTTTTTTGGTCTTCCTCTTCCTCTCTCTCTCTCTCTCTTTTTCTGCGAAATATTCAAGTTATTTATCATTGTTACTAACAGAATTGATCTTTAATACTTTTCCATTTATTAACGCTTGATTAGTATTTATATTATTTATATTACAATACAACTGATGATAATCACTTTAATTACTTGTGCGGAAAATCTTTGACTTAATAAAAAACACCTAATTAAGTTAACGCTCCTGAATTCGTGTTAATTAACGTAATGAGGATTTATTAATAAATAGACCATAAATTTTTTTACCAAGAGCCAAGTTCCAACTTTGGTTACATTTTTTCTATTTTTCTAAAAATTTGTCTTCGCTTGTTCTAATATATTAGAATATTATATATATATATAAATATGTATATATATAGATATTAATATTTGCATCGGTAATAGTTTCTGCTATAGCATTACAAAGCCCAATAAAAGATTGAGGATATCAATTTATTTATCTAATCATCTTATTAATAACGTGAAAAAATACAATAAACCAAATTTACGAATAGATTACAAATAAATTTAAGGAAATGGTCAATTTATTCTGGCTTTTTGTCAATTAGAATCCCGTAACGCAAACTATTCTTTTTAATGTACTCTCTCAAGACAGTATTTGACTTTTGTATCGAAATCAGGAGTTTTTAACCGAGTTCTAGTAAATCTGAATGAGATTATTTGTAGATATCTAACAGGAAAGAAGAACCATATATAAATAACTATACATGTAATATCGATCAATTTTTGTCGTATTTGATCAGTATACAACCGATACCGCAATCAATATTATTTGCAATAATCAGAGACAAAGAATGACAGAGATAGAGACAGACAGAAAAAAGAACAGAGAAAACGATGAGGTAGAAGACAGGAGAGAAAAGAAAAAAAAATAACAGCGAAAAAGTGCATTAGGCAAGCTCCTCTGATGAAGTAGCAATCTTATGGATTGCGTATAAGAGTTATGTAATTTTTATTGCGAACGTAATAGATTATCAACTTATTTTTACGGTTAGAATATATTTATATAGCTCTCTCAATAATTTCCCAAACTAAAAAAGTAGAATGAAGGGAAAAAACAAAGCAAGAAAAAAGAAGACTCTCTACACAAATAACTATAGTAAATATTATTTATAATCTTAAATCAACAAATAAATAAAAAGGGACATAAGTGCTAGTAAATGTTAGTTATTGTACGTGGAATTTTTTATTAATATACAATTACTGAGGGGTAGTCTTCTTGTTCCTTTCAAAAATAAGTCCCTTCTTCGGTTCTTTTTATACACTCAAAGGAAACTTTCTCCCAGATCTTATTACAAAATGTATAGTAATCCGAATAAAGGACCCATATCAATACAAGTTGGCAGAAGTAAATATGTTTTCTTGCTGTTTGTTAGATTGAAAAGTATCGATTGTTTCTACATAAGAAAACACTCGTACATAATAGTTCATCAAATGTTATATATGCAAACCAAATACGAAAGATTTTTTCCACTTCAGTAATTTTCTATTGAATAATCATCACTTTGTTACAATTTATTTTAACAGAAAAAAAAGAAAAAAAATATGAGGCCCAACCGGAAGTACAATACAATTATGCAAAAATTTGCGAGGACGACAACTATGCATGGCTTTCCAAAAGTTATACAGACAAGATCGAAGGCTGCAAAAGGCTTTTGGTTGATAATGTGTGCAGCTGCAGTATCTATGTTCGGAATGCAATTTTATCAATTATTACACAAATACTACTCATATCCGAAAAAAGTAACTGTCGAGATTGTTCCTTCAGCCGTCTCTTTTCCATCGATAAGTCTGTGTAACATGAGAAATCTCGATATTATGATACTTAACAAACTTAATAGAGTGTTTATTAATGTCACCAATATACTGCCGGTTCATTGGTTGAATGTATCAGACGATCCTTTTATAAATGAATATATGAAAGTTGTCTCAAAATATTTTTTAACCTTGCAAAAGAATTATGATAAAGGAGCGAGCAAAGTTTTCTCAGCAATCTTAACAAGAACGTCTATCGCTACGAATATCGAAAGGAAGCTAGTTGAAAAAGCGGGAGTACCTTTCAAAGAGTTTATAGTCACTTGTCGATTTGGGGGTATTGAATGCGATAGAGAAAAAGAATTTCGCCAATTCTTTGATCATTATTATTATAATTGTTTTACTTATAATGCACCATTACCGGATCATCCGGAAGCTACATTGGCGGAAGGAATTGAAAACGGGTGGAGTACGACTGTTCTTACTGGTTCTGGAATGTTAGAAGTAAATAAAAATCCAAGGGTAATCCCGGGAACTCATGAATGGTTAAGTCCAATGTCATCCTCTGAGGGTGTCAGAATAGTTATTCATAGACCATTTACTCAGCCCTATCCCCATACGGAGGGCTTCGACATACCTCCAGGGGCTTCTGTTAGCCTTGCAGTAAAAGCACGAGACAATCTTCGTATTGGACCGCCCCACGGCAATTGCACAGCGGAAGACCCATTTGATAGTCGAGGCGCTCCGTATAGACTGATTACTTGTCAAAAGAAATGTGTTCAAGAACAAGTAGTTGCGAGATGCGGATGCATCTCGCCTTATTTACCGGATCATGAAAAGTACTTGAATAACAGTAAAATGTGTACTGTAGACGATGATCTGCCAGAATTTTGTCGAAATTCATCCAGTGACATATGTTGGAATGCGATGAAAAGTATGTTCAAAAGAGTTATGTGCGCTAGAAATGTAACGGCTGAAGTAACAAGAAATGCAACAAAGATGAGAATGTGTGGTTGTTTCCCTCCTTGCAGAGAACTCACGTATGATGTTACATATTCTCTTGCTAAATGGCCCGCAACTTCTTTTGACGGTGAAGAGGCCTATGTTGACATAACTGAAGTTGAAGGTTATCCCGAACGTTTCAAAACATCTGAAGACGCGGAGAAAAATAAAGTGTACTCGAAATATTTTGGCCCTGAAAATCGTTTTGAAGCCATGAAAGATTTTTCCAGAATAAACGTTTATATTGCAGACGCTAACGTTGTAAAAACTGTTGAAGCTGAAGATTATAGTCAAAGTCAATTGCTGTCTGACGTTGGTGGACAGTTAGGTCTATGGGTTGGAATTAGCGTTTTAACATTGGCTGAAGTTTTGGAATTAATTACAAAACTTTGTAAATATTGTTATCAATCGTATGGACCGTATTCCCAAGGTTCTCACTTTTCAAGAGATCCTTATGTCTCAGAAACAACCAGAATGAACGGTTCTCTTAAATCTGATAGAACAGATAATTTCAACAGAGTATAGTCATATCTCATCTTTCAATAAATGAACATGTTATATACAAAAATTGATTACGCAATTAACTTTAAAATATCCGTATAAAAGAAATTCAATTATATATTTACAGACAAAAGAGAATAAGAATCATTATGTCAATTTTTTTCGCTTTTTCTCTTAACAAAAGACTAATATTAGAAATTAAAAAGCCTATTTATATACAGTACAAGATACTGTATAAACTGTTATGTATTTTATCCTTAACAGATAAACTTAACAAGTCACAAGTTTTATCTCTCTCTCTCTCTCTCACATACATACACACACTTCCTCCCCCTCCCCCCTTCCCCTCCCCCTTTCCTCACTCTTAAAGACAATCCCTTTTTCTGTTTTGCTGTGAACGCAAATTTGTGACTATTTTTACAACACTTGACACGCATAGCCCTAAGCAAGCGTATTCAACGTAGTTAATACAGAGAACACTTTGCTTCTAAGATCTTACCTTTCTTAGAACGATAGTCATTATAGTTGAATTGATAAGGCACCCACGTATCCCTAATAGCTTAAGTATTTGTTTATTGACCTTCTTAGGTGGAGCTATATAAGGAAATTAATAGTGGTATATATTAGGTTTTAGACCACATAAATCCATCATCAATCGTAAAAATATCTGTTTATATAAATAAAAGGATATAGAATTATGTGTAGAACGGTTCCATTTAAAATATAAAAGGGAGAAAGGGGAGAGATCTAGAGAGGGAAGGAAAGAAAAATAGAAAGAATAGCATATAGCAAAACGTTAATAATAATATGGAATAACCTTAGAGGAAGTGAATACCACTGTAACCGGAAAATTCTATTTTCTTCTGGATTAAAGGATTACTATATAAAAGTGCTTGTTCTGTTTTTTTCCAAATGAGACTTCCTATTAAGGTGAACCAGTTTTTGGACAATTTTAGTGTTCTAGATTAGATAGAATTTTATAATCCCTGAAGAAAAAAAAAATTTGCATAATCAAAATTTGTTTTCCGTGTTGGGATTCAATGACATACACTAAATTGACTTGATCATTTACGCAACCTTTTTAGAATCTAAGAGAAGATTAGTCAGACAGCCGTATTATCAAAATTTTCTTTAAATTAATATTAATTTATTAAACAATTTTTTATTTTTTACACTTAAAAAACACGGAAAGTTCTCTAAGGAAGAAGAAGCTAAGCTATTTTAGACCATTGGATAAAAAAAGAATGCATTTTAGTACGACATATCGTCAATTTTCCACATCGTTAATTCTTTAATAATGATTGTACCTTTTTCTATCTACTATGAACGATAATTGTTCTTAAGAATTGCTTTTATACTGATTACGGAGATTTTATACAGTGACTTAGTAGATTAAGTACCCAACTTCCACCAACTGGATTCATTTATTCTTATTCGTTGTCTAATTGTTGTTGAATTATTTGATAATCAATTTTATATAAGAAGAATTCAATATTCTTAATTTTTCCGTTTATATTAATTTATTTAATTAAATTAAAAACTTATCTAATCTTTAGTCTGTTATTATCATATTTCGAAAGAAACTGTATTTCTTGATTTAGATAACTCATCTCCAATTGCCTTTATTCATGTAATAACTTCTATTCATAGCTAACTATTAATCGAAGATGCTAAATGGTACTTTAACAGATTTTCTTCAATAACTTTGTTATATTTTCTCATTCAAAAGAAGAAAAAAATGGTCAGTTATTTAAGTTCTTAGAAATAGAGATGGCAACATCTTTCCTTCTAAGAAATACGTAAAAAAAGCCGAAATATAATAAGAAATAAGAAATTATGCATATATCATAAAGCTATAACAATTTAATGTATTAGAAATCTTATAGATGGCGTAACACTTAAAGTTTACTCTGTTAGATCATGACAATAGCCCGGATATATAATGTATACTGTATAATACATTATATATACATATTTTATCTGGACATAAATTTCAATAAATAGTTTATTTGATAAGCTAAAATGAAGAAAATAATATCTAATGATCGATAAAATATTTACAGTATAAACTTAATCAACATAATGGAATTTTTACATTTCCTGACTTTATTTTCCTAGAAAACCTTAAAAATAGTTCAATAAACCATTACATATACAGTATATACACGGTATATAAATAGAATATACTTCTTTTCTTTTAATTGAATTTATTTGTTTAGCATCTTCTTTGAAATTTCAACAAACAATAGAAAAGTTTAATATTTTGAGGAAGAAACTTATTTAATACATTTTTATTTCGTAAATTATCTGCTAAACTACTAATAAAAATTTGGAATAATGTTATTCATATCTTTCTTCGTTTATATTTCGATATCACTTTTAGTATTATCGTCTAATATTACGACGTCATCATAGACTTTTGGTACTACATTATCCCTTGGTGGAACTGGTGGAGCCATATTTCCAACCCATGAATTTGATCTTGTTCGAATTTTTGGCTTCGGCTCATTTTCTTCAGGTTTTTTTCTTCTAGAGCTCAATGATCTACTTCTTCTTACTGGTTCTTCGTCTTCGTCTCGTCTTCTATGGCGTCTACGTTGTCTATGTCGTCTATGGTCGGAAGACTCTTGTTCTTCACCTTTTTCGGATTCTTCTCGTTTGTGTCTATGAGATCTATGAGAGTGCTTATGATGGTGATGATGACGTCTGGATCGTGTTTCATTTTCGGTTTTAACCTTCTCCTCTTTAGCAATGGGCTCATCTCTTACGTCTGGAGCTACTTCCATTGAAGTAAAAGGCGTTTGATCCTCGTCGCACCTTGGAGTTAACTCTTTCATTTGTTGCTTAAATTTTGCATATAAATCACTAGTTCGGGTGTGAGTAGTGTGAGTAGAAACGACATCTGGTATCGATTTAGGCGCTTCTTCACTAGCCGTCACTGTAGTAAACATTTTGGAAGGGTCCTGACATCTTCGGGCTACTGCAAATGCCTTAGATCTGCTCTTCTTACGAGCTAAATTAGTTCTGCGTCTATAAGCAGTAAAGAGTACAACAATAACAATAAATACAAGTAACAGTATAAGACACAAAACGATTAATCCAATTGTAAGATTTTTTCCATTGGAGCCTGATGATTCTTTGTTCTTATCATTTACACTACCCGGTTTCGTTGATCTAATTGTGGAAGTTTTCATAGTACTAGTAGATATAGGCTTTTTTGACGGTTTCGCTTTTTCTTTAGAAAAATTAACGTCAACATAGTTTTCTTCTGCAATTTGACAGAAAAATCTGTGAACAGCAGAGCATTGTTCACTCTTCCAAACGTAATTTCCAAATTCTTTAATAACTGTTAAACAAGTTCCCGAATCGCTTGGTTCTCCGTCACCCCAGAAATTTTCTTTTAACTCATTATTGCCTAAAATCCACCTTGAACGCCTTAAGCCAAGCCATACACCATCGCTTTTTGGAGGAAAGATAATATCCTGCAATGAAAATACACTGTATGTTTATTTTTCTAATAAAAAGAAAAGCTATTTAAACCTTGTAAACGAAATTTAATAAATCTGATTTGATACTATAACAAGCTTCTCTGGCATCGAACCAAGAGTATTTATTGTCTTTAAATCTTATACATGGATTTGTACTGAGTATTTGAAATCCATTTTTTTCATCGCATTTACCATCACTAGAAATACCGCAAACGGCTCCGTATCTTTTGTGTCTGCATTGTTCAGAAATAAGAAGCGGTTGTGAATTTTCATTCATTAAAGCTGCGCAATTTGCTGTCTGCTTAATTTCAAGGTTTATGTCAGTAGCTTTCTTGTTATTACCCCATTTCCAGACACTTTCAACTTGCTCTTCTCCAGATATCCAAAATTGGCGCCAATTTAAATTAGTAAATTTCTTAAATATATCAAGATTTCTACCATCCGCCAACGTACCGTTCATTTGTGAGCAGTCATGTTTAGCTTCTTCTAACGTCCTTCTATGATCAAGAGCAAGGTAACATGTTGAACTATCAACGTCTGCTACAACTTTAAAGTCTGACGTTATTTGGCAAGCTAAGAGAGACGAAAATTCAACGATAAATTAAATAAAAATCTTATTATGCAATCAATTATGTAATACTCACGCTGATAAGTGTAAAATGAACAGAAAATGATAAAAATTGTGAAAAGCGTCATGTCAATTCCCTAAGGAATTCCTGCGTTACCCCGGTGATTTTATAAACATATAGACACAATTATTCTGCAGCGCCCTTTACCGTTCAATATTTCCGATCAATGATTTATACGCCTTCGCATTTAAATAGCCTGAATAACATTGTTGCAAGTGATAAAAATAGTCCAAAGAGTCTAGGAATATTATAGTTTGAACGTTTAAATTGCCCCAGTTAGTCGCATACTTTGCATTGATGATAAATTATATAATAAAGTATCTAATTATTACAATCTATTGTAATTGTTAACTAAAGTAAAATAATTAAGCTATAGAGAAGGAATACTAAAAATTAAATTCTAGGTCTATACCTGATAATAGACTATATTGCTGTTTATAACAATTTATATTTACTAATCTTCTATACCAGTACATAGTATAAAAAGAATCTGGCGAAGGTTATGAATGAAAAAGACATATTTTTCGGAGTTTTTATGCCTTTTTTCATTAAAATATAATATCCTTAACAACAATAGGATGAATTATTGTAAAAGTTCTCAATTCGTTTCTTTTTAGTAAAAACAACCTGCGCCATTTTTATTCTCTTTAGTTCATATAAGATTAAACGTTAATTTAATTATTATTTCTGATATAAATACAAATCCTTTCAAAACTTACTTTCGATTATGCATATCGAGAGTTTGTGACTGTTGTAATACCCTTTACTATTTCTATTTTCGATAGGAATTAACTAGAGAGTTGTGTGTACTATTAGGCTTACTGCCGTACATTACATGGTTGGCTATTTCATTTGGTTAAGCAACATAGCCTAATCTATCTTATCGAGATGGCTGCTTCAATCATATTAGGTTACAAAGCAAAATTTCTAGATTCAAAAGAATTATCAGATATATTTAAAGGAAAAAAAATAAACTCAAAAGAAAAGTTAATTGAATATTTGAGATATAACCACAAAAGGCAAGTATAATCCTTCAACGTTCTAAATTTTTATCTCTTTAAATATGACCGATTCTTTTAAAATTCTTTTTTCATTGAAAATTGAGTAACATCTATGCTAGATTATGTAAAATTGATAATGTATTTTAAATGAATGAATACGTTATAAAAGCAATGCTTATCAATTCGACATATGATTTTTTCGTGTAGGCCTATGCACTTACTGTATAAATATATATATATATATAAATAGCCGATTGTTTTACTTTTATTTATTAATTATCTTGTTTCCATTGTTTGATTTAGGAATGACATAACAGACTTTGCTTCGAATATTAGAAAATTTCTCAAGAAATCTGATAATAGAATACGTTTACCGTCTATAATTACTTGGATAGCTGAATATTTAGAAAAAGCTAATTCTGAATGGCTTGAAAACGAAATATATGGATCAAATTTAATTAATATTGAAAACAGTGACTTTATTTTCGAATTACTTCGACATGGTAGTTTCTTTCATTTAAAATTTTTTGGATTCTTCCTACGACAAATTGTCAACAGAATATGTGAACTAGAAAGAGACAGTAACTTTAAGCATATAATAAAAAATATGTCTACCAGTTATTACTATGCATGTAAAACTATTGGATTATTTTCGAAAAGAGAACTATCACCGGAGTTTGATTTATTCAGAAAGAATTTAAAAAATTTATCTGACAGTTTAAAGTTTGAAGAACTGGAATCTTATTTTTGTTCATATGTGTTTGAAAAGGTATCTACTTTGAAGGAACTTGCCCAACTGACAGTACAAAAGCGTTTATACGAATGCAATAATTTACCTTTAGACATTACTAATCTTTCCGAACCGCCCTGGACGCAAGTCATATTTACCAAATAGAAGGTAATGTTTATGTAAAAAGAAAAAGTGTAGACGTTACTCTCACATAATAAAACATAGATTAAACTTAAAAAGCATAATCTACTTTAAAATTTTTTCTATGAAAGAAAAAAGCTTGAATACATTAAATTAATCATGAAAAGTACACTTAATACATTGACACTTTCATATATGAACGCTTTTATTCTATTGCAATTCTACATTCAAACAAAAAATATCAAACATTAATCAAGTCAAAACATTTGCATAAGTAAGATTTATTTCTTATCTGCTTAAACTTTGATTTACAGATATGACTAGTCTTCTTAGAATATATTCAACACACTGGAAAGGAAAAAACTCAAAGCGAACGATGATGCAAAAATAAACTTATTTTATATACAAATTTCATATTTTATAAAAGATTAAAGAAACCAGAAATTAACATACAAAAAGCTTTACAAACCTTCCTAATATACTTAAAAAAAGTTCAGGTTTCACATATTATAACTGACATAGATTGGATCTAATTGATCATTTAAAAATCCATCACGCAAATGCATGCGTTGCTTTTCACCCCTGGAATTAATTGGTACCACTCCCGGATCAACAATCACAACAACTCCAACAATTAAATAGTGTTCTTCTAAAACAGCATTAGTGATTAAGGGTACTAAGTCTATTGCCTCGTTTTCTTGTCCATCTAATTCAGCTACTACGACTAGTAGATTGGTCCAGGTAAATACGGCGCTAGAAAAAAATTTGCCGATAAGACGTTATCTTAGCAAATAAAACAATACTATACCATTCGCATATCTTTCGATGGCATCTCAATATACTTTCTTCTATATCGATAGGGTGATAGCGCATTCCCCTCATGATAAGCGTTTCTTCTAAGCTTCCAAGAACAAAGAGTGCGTCGTGGCGTTCTGTGGAAAAACAAAATATTTGATTGGGTTTAATAGTAAGGTACTATTTCCTTTATAACTTACCTCCATCACTTTGTGTCATCTCCGTTCTTTTCACAAATCCTAAATATCCAGTTCGAGCAAATGTTGTATAAACGTCACCAGTAGCTAATTTCGATTCGAAATGATCTGTGTGAATTGCCCCTTCTTGAATATCTCCTTGAATAACAGTATATCCAGAGGAATTATGAGGGCTTGATACCCAAATCTGTTTAATGAAAACGCAGATAGTGATAAAGAAGAAAATTGTACTGATAAATCTTACCTCTCCTAAGTGGGAGTCTGCGCATTGTCCCTTTGTTTCAGGATTAGCGATAACAACCTTTACACCTGGTAATAGTTTAGCCGATTCAAGAACGCAGAGAGAGTGTGGACTGCCCTTCTCAACTAAAGCCACCCTATCGTTTCTCAAGGCTTTCAAATCAACATACACCTGTGTAGGGTCTGGACTAGAAGCTCCTTGAAGATTTACACCCACGTTAACTCTACAACCAAAACTTGTGCTAACTGCTCTTGGATTCAATTTAAGCGCAGAGAATAGAGCAGTGAATGCAGACATTAGCTTAATGCGGGGTCGTTCTTCCGCAATAACACACATTGTTCGGACAGACGATAAATTAACGCCGTGCTTTATCATTGTTTGAATCGTATTTGATGGGCCACCGAGACCTTTAGTACACAAATCCATAACTCCATACGAACAGAACGTATCGCGAACTACAAAGTAATGTTAGCAGATTTTAAAATTTCACTCAAAGGACAATAAATAGATTCAATTTACTTTGATTTTGGCTTAATGCTGTCATCCAGAGCTGCGGCGAATGCTCAATTTCGGAAGGCGGTATCAAAATAGATCGATGGCCAGAATAAATACTGAAGGGAAAGAAGTAAATATTTATGCTCGGCACGTTTAGATATTCAATGATTTTGGTACCTTGACAAACACCACAGGACTAATCCTAGACCGCAGTACGGGTCTAAACAGATGCAAACTTCTCTTGCTGGATATAATTCGCATTGCAATTTGATTGCTCTGCACAGACTAGATGCTGCTCCATGAGAAATTTTAACTCCAGCTAACATACCAGTAGTCGACACCGAAAAATCAACGTAGCAAGTTAATTCATTGCTTGGTGCACGATAAACCGAAGACACTCTCTTTTTTGCTAAATCATCGACATCAACTATGGGTGGCCATTGTTTAACATTTACAACAGATGATGCCTCCTTTGACCTTAATAGTTTGACTACGGCACCATTTGTCAACAAAAGCTTAGATTTAGAGACCTCCACTACCATTTTTGCTGTAGGGAGTGTGGTTGGAATGTTACGTTCGTTAGGTGGCCTAACAACAACAGGAACGACACCAGCGTATAAACAGCCATAGAATGAGGCTATTAGATCAATTCCTGGATGAAACATTAACGCAACTAAATCGGTAGCTACTAATTTATTCTTGTCTGTTAAAACACAAGCGATTCTCTCCGCTTTTTTGTGAAGTTGAGAGCAAGTTAACTTTTCTGAGTCGTTCTTAGAAGTTTTTAAAGTAAAGAGTACATGGTCCGGATGTTGCTGAGCACGATTTCGCAGGATTTCAGATAGGAAATTCTAAAAATTTTAAAAATATTACTCATATGAAAAATTATACAATTTAAAAACAATTACATTAGTTGAGTTATCGTCTTCCTTAGGTAATTCTCTGCCCTGGGCTTGAGCAAGTCGAGCACCCTGAACAATATTTCCTACAAACATTGCTGAAGGTCCGACATCTGAAAGTAATATCAAAATATTAAAATAAGATCATAAAGATTTGAACAACAGACAAAACTGTTTCTTATAAACTCTCAATTTATAAGGTTTTATAAAAGCTTGAAAATATAGTATTATCAAAAAATATAGGACTACTAGAATACTAATATCTCGAAAAGGAAAAAATTATTAGAACAAAAAATAAAGGTGGTTCCACTTTGACAATAACTTTCTAAACTTGACAGATAACACAGAAATATACCGTCTGAAGAGGAATATATGTAAAAAATTTAAAATCACAGCATTAAACATTTTGAATAAATGCATGCAGAGGGAAATAAAACTTACCAGGATGATGCTCTCTCGGTTTCGGCAAGTTTGTAACACAAGTGTGAGGAGACATAAGTACACATGCTGGATGCAAATTTCCATCAATGAATCGTCTTCTTGTCTCGTGGACATGAATACCCCCCAGTGCAGTCTAAATTTTGTTGATTAGAAGTGACCTTTATAATAATAAATGTTATTTGTTCTAAATCTTACTTTCGGTAGGCAATTAGCTGGAACTAAAGCAAGACAGTATACTCCGACATTATGAATTGCATCGACGGCTTGGAGAACCTGGCTCATCCATTTAAAGCTCTGTTTTGAGTATATGTATATTAATAATTAGCTAACAATTTTGAAGAAGCAAATGTTTAACTATACCTCGTCTTCATTAGCATCAGGTTTTTGTTCTGCTACTATCACTATTCTCTCATCCCTTAAAACTCTGATAGAAAAGACGGCAATTCGTCCTCTGTATATAAAATTTCCTTGGGCAGGAGTTACAGCTAATACTGTTGCTATAATATCATCAGTATTATGCCTTCGATTTCCGACAGTCATTAATCCATCTCTGCTACCACAGACAAATATTAAGGCTTCAGGACCAACAAAACCGAGCAATCCTAAAAATGAAGAAAACTTATTAGCCGCTTTAAAGAATGTTTTTATAAATACGCACCAGATCTGACAAATTTTTGATTTGGAACCGCAGGTGTTCCATCTTCTAAAAGGGGTACTACTTCAAAAGTTTTAGATGATTTTCCAGAAAGTCCCCAGTAAGAGTGAGCTGTGTATGGCGCGGAAATGCAGAGCTCACCGACTTCGTCAGCTTTACATAAAATTGGCTGATTATCAATAGATACAATAGCCAAAGAAGCTCCATCTAAAATAACGCCGCAATCTTGTAATGCTAGCGAAGTATAACTACTATCACTATCCACTCTAACAACGCCATGCGATAGCCCTTTCATCGATAGTACTCCCCTACCAGTTGTATTACTATTCGATGATGAACTTTCCGATCTAGAGGGGCGTCTCATGCAAATAGTTAACGCTTCGGGGCTACTACCCGACGGACAAACGGCTTCTTCTTTCAAATTATATCTTGAAAAATGCTTCGTGAAAGAATCGCAGGAAGTTAGAGACCCTATAGAAAAAATATATTTAGATTTATATTAATTAGTATAAATCTATATCTAACATGGATTTGATCCATCAGCAACCAGTAAAAATCTAAGAGATTGTAAATTAATATCTTTATGATCCTTGGTTGCCAGTAATGCCCAATGCATATCTCTAGATTTAACTAGAGCAATAGTTGCTGTAAAAAATCAAAATTAAATTAAAAAACAAATTGCTAATTTTTATAATTACTAAAATCATACCTTTATATTTAGTGACCATCTTCAACCAGGAAGCTGGATCAGATTTCATTAATTGATATGGAATAAAAATAACGTGCATTCCATTATATATACTCTGAAATATTTAAAATAATTTGCAATTGAACATCAAATATAATCATTTTTAACTCACAGTCAAAACTGAATGCCATAAACCAAGATCTCTTTTAAAATCTAAAACGCAGACCATTGTTTCACCTGCAAAATAGAATTAAGCGTTAACTATTTCGCAGTAATAACTTTAACTTTCATCACTACCTTCAGTGTAGTTTGCTGCAACCGATAAGGCTCTACAGTGTGCTAACATTGATGCTCTTGTGTGAGTAACACCAAGGACACTTCCATCTTTATCGTGTGTATACTAAGAAGATAAAGAATACTATGAAATTATAGCAAATAAAAGACTATTAAAATTATCTTACTTCAATATAAGCTGGAGCGTGATCTTGCAATCTTGCAGGTGGATTCCAGTCTTTACCAGGTTTACTTAAATGTTCTGAGACAAACCAATGCAGTCTAGGCCAGCCTCTGAATGTTATCACTTCACCGTTTGGATTTTTAGGCAATCCTTTGTGACAAGCATCCGAAGTAATTGCAACTTTAACATTTAGACTACCAAGTAGAAATCCTATATTCTGACAACCAGCGTCTCGCTTCGACAACGGAACTTCGATTGGAACTGGAACTAAGTTTGCCGTCAAGCAAGCATAGAAGGCACAAATAAATGAAAGTGCATCGTTGTTCGGATAAACAAGGGCAACTGTGTCTTCTGGTTTAAGTAAAGGATTCGATTTTGAACCAATTCGCAAAAGATTGTAAGCTAATTTGTTGACTCTAGTAAGTAATTTTCCTGTTTATGAAGTTATTAAATAATTAAATCAAGTAGATAAATGGATAACAAATACATACCATAGGTTATGGTGCCGAAAGCCCTTCCACTGCTATCTAGAACACTAATGGCAGTAGTTTTTGGCATTCCCGTTCCATATCGATGAAGTGATGACTCTAAGTTTCTCCTTTGTAAACTTGAAGGTACAATGAGCTGATTTCCTTCTATTGGAATAACTTGCGGTCCGTCAGGTTTGGGTGCAGTCGGATCTAATGCTGGAGCTATATAATTGAAACAAATTGAAAAATTGCTGCACAAAGATAAATCGTGCTATAAAATATTCAGCATTCTTTATAACAACATCCTCAACGCAGAGACTCTTGTAATATAAGAGAAATATAGAAATCGAAAGTGTTAGCATGCATATAGTAGGTTGTTTTCATATCAATAAAATAGAGATGGTTTTGAAACATTAACTGTTTTCAGAAAAAAGTCATTTCGGTCAATTTATACTCTTTCAATGATTACATAAGCAGCATTGCAAAATTAGAACAATAACAGATAAAGATGTTCTTACTCTCCAAATCATCTTCGTCTTTAAAGAATTCAGTAACGTCTCTACGTTTCGGTCGCTGTTGTTTTATGAATACAATGAAATCGGTTTCGTGTTACTTACGTTCTAAAACTGCCTCATCCTCATCTATAAAGTAGTCGGGTAAAGGGCGACGCTTTGGCTTCTAAAATATTTTTGTCTTATTATAAATCTATTTCGCCTATGTACAAGGTAGGGATTGATCTCATTGCGGTGAATTTTTCCGAGTAATAATTTATTTTTTTATTTATACTATTATCATTTGTTACATTAATATCTTGGCCTGAAAATAATCTTACAACTTTCGAATATGTACTTTATATAGCTCGACTCTCATGCAAACTCACCTTTAGAGTTTCACACAAATTTTGAATTTTCGATGAAATTCTGCTTAATTTCAAAACTAGTACGTTAAAGAAAGACGAATTAGTTTGATTGAAAATCTTAAAGAGAAAAAAATTTTCAATTACCGTCTCCACTTTCTAAATCAAGATTTGGGACACCTCGAACTGAAGACAGATGGGGAGCTAATCTTCCACTTCCGGCTGAGCTTGTATTATTAGTAACATCAGGGGGTTGTGATGCTTGTAGGACTATTTTAACATAACATAAAAAGTTTATTACATTTGTTTATTAGTTAAAGAATTTATGTTAAAAAGGCTAGAGTTAAATGTTTTGATGAGACAAGTTAGCCATGGTGCATGATATCTTTATTAATTTACTACAAATGAGGGTGTTATAAATTAAGAAAAATCATCTAGCATCTTAAAATTACTTTTCAAGTGATAAAGAGCAAGCTAAGAGTTTAAATTTCGGTTATGTTTACGGCTGAGCCACAAAAGTGTAGACATATCAATCTAATATAAATTTAAAGGAAGCAGGAATCGGAGAAGTATAAAACCAAAAGTTGAGCGCTTTTTAGACAGTGCAACCCTTCCTATTAATGGACATAAGTTTTGAAACATTTACTCAGAAGAGAGGTACTGTCAAACGAAGTGGTACCTAGAAAATCAATTTGAAATAACATTTCCTACTTCTGAGATATTACAAGAGTTAACGCTTGATTTGAGGGCTGTAGGTAATTATAAAGCAAACAACCAACGTTTAACATTATCTTAAGCTCTTAGTTAAGAACGTTTGAATTTGGAAAGAGGTTTGGGATAACCAATATACATTCCGATTTAAGGGGCAAGCGAAATACTTAAAAAAATCATCTGCTCTAGCAGTGTTATTAAGAGACCATTCACCTGAACTTCTTGGAGTTGAATCCTGAACAACATCAGCTACTTGCTGCTTAGCTTGCATAAGAGAGGTGACCGGCAATACGCTTATATTTCTCGGACTAGACGACGCAGAAGATGTTAAAGAGTTTAGATCTTTAGCCTCGTCAATTGATCGCAATTGATTTCTTCTTCTTTTCTCTCTTTTCTTCTCTGATAAATCAGTAGGACGTTCTAATTGTGCGTAGGCAACTCCTGAACTAGCTAAAGCGGCAGCACCAGCTCCACCACTTAAATTATCTGGAGAAGATGATTCGTTTATTCTTCTTGGAGCCGGAACAGGACGTTCCTCTCGCTCTTTCGGTCTAGATAATTGAGAATGATGTTCCAACACTTTTACTGGCCGAGTGTTTTCATAAAGTGGCTGTTGCTGGGGAGACTCAGGACGATCAGTATCTCCTATATTTTTCGAAGGAGGGGAAGGAGGTGATTCTGATGGGCAAGAAGATGGTTGTGATTCTTCCGCTATATGTTTTCATTTTAGTTTTGAAGAAAACAGAGGCAAGGAGGATTTTGTTTCATATAATACAACAAGCATGCATAGTATTTCAACACATAAACATACCGAACAAGTTGGCGTTGTGAAAGCGAACGAAAAAAGCATTAGATTTTTGAATTGAAGCTGTTATTCGAGTTTAGAGGAATTCCAATGAACTTATTGCTCTTTTTAGCTAAATAAGTGGTAAGTAATATCTTGGCTTTCAGAATGTTCGACAAACAAAGTTATTTGTTATTGGAGAAGGGAGTAAATCATTATACACAGAATGTAACTGCTTAAAAGTCCCATGCGACTTTATAATTTTTGACAGCTTACACATTTAGTAAATCAATGTGAGAATAAAGTGCAATATTCAAAGAGTGCGAAAGAGCGCAAGTTTTCATTGGAGATTCCCTTTCCATATAAAGGTTTGTATATGTTTATATATATCTACATACCTGACTCTATAGGATCTGTTATAGGCGGTATTTGCGGTGGAGTTGCTAATAATTAGAAATTTTATCATAATAACCAAAGAGTGTTAATGGAGCTTATACATACATTGTTGCATTATTTGAGATAAAGCTGTCTGAGCAGAGCTCCCAGCCATATTTACGTAATTATGGCGAGGATGATGACCAGAATTTGCTATTTTTATAAGTAAATTTTATACAATTGAAATATATATAAAATATATATACTAATATCATACATTTTCTATTTTCTTTTGGAGGAGATTTTCGGTCGAATACCTCGTCTTCCTCTGATGACGACTCTATTAAACAAAGAGTTAAAAATTATTCACATTTATTAAATAGAACATCGCTTAAAATTCCATTATATACAGCACATCACTTTTATGTTAAACTGCATTAACAACACGTTGGAACTATTCAACGTTATTTGTCAGTGAATTTTTAATCCGTGAATGATTATTCCCCAAGCATCAAGTATATATTTGAAAGCCAATGGTGTCTGGCCAACACGATTAATTTAGCAATCTACTGATGTCATAGAACATAAGTATTACGAAATAGGTTAGTTTTGCCTTTGTCGTCAATTAATTTTACCATAGGCTACTGTAGAAGGTTTTTATTGTTACGGCCACGCCCAAAAATGCAAATCACTATATAATTATCTGGTACTTCTATTGTTAGCGTAGCAATGAACCGCAAAAGTGGAACGGTCAACTGTACAGTCCTATTCATAATGCCATAGTAATAAGTGTAATTCACCGTAATACGTTAATATAGCAGTATATCAAAACAAATAAAGCAAATAATAAGAAATAAATGAAAGAAGACTTTTGAATTCTAAAAATCATTTGCTAGTGCCAATTTGGTATGTGGAATGAGAGCCTATATTTCTCTCGCAAGCTAATCAAGGCTAATAACCGAAAGTAGGTGAAAGATATTTGTCTTTTTATGTGTATTGACTTGAGGATTTGAACAATTTATGATTTTATTTTTGAAAATGGTGAACCTACCTGATACTGGTCTTGTTGATGTTGGTAAAGGAGGGTCATTATTCCCAGTTACTCTTCTAGCCTGGTCCCCCACCGCAGCCTGGTTCGAATGTCTCTTCGAAGGCATGGGTATCTTTTGATCGTGTTTAAACTGGGCCAATGCTTTTTTAACGGCCTCTTGTCTTATTTCTGAAATAGACAAATAGGAGTAAATTTATTAAAATTATGACATCTGCTTTGAGAAGGTGCATGAGAGTATTGATTGTTCTAAAAAAAATAAGTAAAATATTTTGATAAATTTTCAAATAAATGTGTTCCACAACCTTTTTTAAATCCGAGACAAATTATATAATCGAATATTAACTGTACCTGATTTTTATTATTCTGTCAAAAACTTTGATCTAGGCAGCCTGAATAAAACTTACATTTTCAAATGTCTTGTTTAAACAATCGGTTAATTAAATTATTGTTGGGATATCAGTAAAAACATTATTTAATAGAATTATCTTAAGTAGTAAACGACAAAAAAACTACAGCAAAATTTCAAGGTTAATTCCTATTATTAATTGAAATATTCGTTGTAACTTATTTAAGAAAAAAAAAAACATTGTAAGTTCAGCTATTAGTAATCCAAGTTTCTCTTTTTAAATTATTAAAAATTTCATTGTAGATAACATATCTTTGGGAATACAACAGTTCTTCTATTTAAAAAATGGGATGTCTATGGGTACTATGTGAATAATTAATTCCATTTCCCAAGAACTGTCACCAAAAATTTGATTGAAAACTGTTAGGTAATATAAATGTCAACAAGGAACTCAGGAATATTTACTGCTGATTAAGGTAAAAATAAAAAATTTAGGTTAAAGACTTTTAACAAAAGAACAAAGACCCCTCTTTTTATACGTTGTCATTGTTCTTTTGGTTAAAGATGCCAATGAATTTGTTTAAATTACTTTCTTATTTTTTGGTAGAATTACTCTCAAAGCACGAACTCTATTTTGATAGAAACATTTTATAATTAGCTCATTGTTTCTTATATAAGTTTACATATAAAATTTTTTTTTGTTGTTTTTTTTTATACGATAACAATAATCGACAAAATAAAAGAACTTAGGAAAAAAATCTCTTTTAAATTTAATCTGAGTTTCTCATTATATGCAGAAAAAAAAAGTATAAATATAATTTCAAGCAAAAAAAAAATAATTGTTCTAAAAAATATAAATCAAAAAATATTGGAACCAAAAGTTTTACTCATACCTCCATGCTGGTCGCCTGAACAATTTTTATAAATAAAGTAACAACAACGTTTCAACTAAGTTTAATATATGAAATTACCAACCAGAGTGATAGCGGTGATCTTCTCGAGTCAATCTTCTGTTGTGTCTTCTACCAGCTGCTGGTGCCGCTCCACTACTAGTAGAACTACTACTTCCTCCTCCAGCTGGAAAAGATTGTAAGATAAGTAAAGCAATTAATTCCCATATCTATTGAGATAAATACAAGCTGGAAACAAAATAGATATGCTAATATTAATTAAATTTTCAAGTAAATTTCATATTCTTTTGATTAATTGAATATTATTCTGATGAGTCTTACGAAATAAACAATAAAAAGCAAAATTTCATTAAATTAACCATTCCATACAAAAAAGACAAGAGATAGCGAATATTTTTCAAGTACTTACCAGTTAAATTTTCCGGATATTTTGTATAATTTTCTAACAGTTTAGCTTTCTTTTTATCATATCCTTTTTGAGTGATATCTCCTGTTATAAGATATTAGTCATTAGTACTCATTTCCTAAAAAACATTCCCCGGAGAAGAAGTAATCGTAAAATGTATCGACAAATGTATGAAGTGCAAAGAAATTTAACTTTGGGTGTGTACCTTGTTAAATATTAAAAGAAAGTCAGGAATTTAAAAATAAACTTTTATCAGCGAATAATACTGTAGAGGATTCAATTTCAGTCTAGCCGTTAACGATATTGATAATAGACATTGTAACGACTTAAAAAATAATAGGTTTTTCTTCTTTCTATTATCAGCTTGCTTTTAGTCTTACAAGCTTAAATTACTCTGTTTCTATTTGTCTAATAAAATATTTAATATATGTTTTTATTATTAATTAGCCTATATTCACTTCGAAATATATATTTCTATACGAGAATATCCAGAAAGGAATTTATCAAATCAAAAGAACACAAGCCGGCAATATTTATAGATCTTGGATAGTAAAGAGGGCGTTATAAACAGTTTATGATATAGGCAACTGGACCCCTGTTAATATTACTCTTATCCTATAAATTTGGTCTAAGTAGTTCAAATAAAAGGAGGGAAATTCTTTGATTAAAATATACTAGTTATTTGAGATTATTCTTATCCTATTTTAATCGTTTTTTGATGAAAATCATGGTAAATGGATACTCTTTGAAAATAACAAAAAAATTCTGTTAAACTTCACGATGCTTTTAATCAATCAATATTGATTACATAGGCCTAAGAATTTTGAAGGGAGTAAAATAGTATATACTGTATATACAGTATATATATATATATATATATATATATATATATGTATACATGTGATCTAACGAAATTGCCTCTAAATACATCTTGCCTCTATTTAGCTTAAAAAGAGATATTATCTTATTGTTACAACTGTAGTTTCAACCAATAACGTTACTATTATGTAAATGCCCACATAACTTGTCAATGAAGAAATGAATGTTATGTGACTAAACAAAATTTTTATGAATAACGAAGAATAATAAACTTACTGCTATAAAGCTATTTCTAAAACATAGTGTTACCTAATTAGTAAAAACTATATCAAACATTACGAAATTGTAAAGATATAGAGAAAAAAGTGATACAATATGTACATTTGTCTTATTTTTAAGCAAAAGTCCAAAGATCTTTGTTCGATGAATGAAAACACAAACCTAAATAACAAACATAATCGCAAATAGGAATTCTTACAATTGTTTCATGAAGGAATATAATTACAATGTAGTTTTCACAAAAAAAAAGAATTCTCTTACCACCACAATATATAATTAAGAATAATTTCTTCTCGAATGGATCTTTGCAGCTATATACATTTTATAGATATAAAAGACAAAAGAGAGAAATAGAATAAAATTAACTTGCTTCTCTTCGTCTCTTACTAAGGTCATATTAGTATCAATTAAAGAAAATAATGAACAATCTCTACAAATAAGAATTCATCTGTAAAATTTTTCGTTACGTTTTTTTTGGAATGTTTTTTAAGTAGATTGTCACATTTGTTTCGTTAAACTATAGCTATAATATGATCCTTTAGAACAACTTGTCGGCAATTAAAAGGTTAAAATAAATAGTAAACTATCAACAAGTAAACAAAATCCCAAAAAGATAAACAAAGAATATTGTAAAGAAAATGAGTTTTTCTTAACCTTGTTCCCAGGACTACTCTTGTATTGGATATACACATAAATTATCACTACTTTTAGCTTTTTTGACATAAAAATTAATAAATGAAAGAAATAAACGCCTAAATTTCCGGGTGAAAAAAAATTTACCTTCAGACAATTCCAAATCCAGTTCTGCTAATTTGGCCCGAATATCCAAAGGTAATTTACTATATTCTATATTATCGTCAGCCATAGTTAATTTTTTGAAAAAAGAATTTTAAACGAGTTTGAAAGGGTTTATTGTTCAGAGATGTAGTGGCGACATATTGGATTTTTAGACTCGTCTGGCTACGAGTTCCGCGTGAATTAATTTCATGAAAAATAGCGGAAATAGAGTGTACCGACTGATGTTTAAGAATGAAATATATGCCATCTATCGTCTAAATTATAACCACCGATATTGCTTAAAGCTTCTGATTTCTTTCATGGATTTTATTTAATAAGAACAATGGATATTAGGCATAATTGGAGAGAGTTTTTAAAGAAAATAAAGCTACACAATTGTCGTAATCCTATTAAAAAATATATAAAATATCACCATTTTGTTTATTTTGAAAATATCATAGGCTGTAATTAAGGAGAAACAATAAAATTTGAATAAAAACAATAATAATTAATGTGAAATTTATACTAAAATAGTAATCTAATAAAATGTCGGAGAGCTATAACGAAACCATAAAAAACGGCAGAGAGTCTATGAAAACGGCAGAGCATAGACAGATAGCCAAGGAATCAGGGACCGTAATACGAGAGGAATGGGGCGGGAAATTAGAATTTATCTTTAGCTGTCTCAGCTATGCAGTAGGCCTCGGAAATTTGTGGAGATTCCCGTACAGATGTTATTCAAACGGAGGAGGGGCTTTCCTAATACCTTATACGATTATTTTACTATTGGCGGGAATGCCTTTAGTCTTTCTTGAAATGTCTTTTGGTCAGTATGCAAGCGAGGGTATCATTTCTATTTGGAAAATATGTCCACTAATGGAGGGAATCGGTTGGGGAATGTTTTTTGTATCTTTTCTTGTGGGAATCTATTACAATATGATCGTAGCTTGGACGATTTTCTATTTATTCGCTTCTCTAGGGAAGGATGTTCCTTGGAGAGGTTGCGGCCATGAATGGAATACAGGAAGATGTAGTGGTCTAGACGATGTAGAAAACCAAAAAAACTGTACAGATAATCAGGGTTTTTGGTTCAACAGAACCTGTTTTAACGGGGCAAGGAATAATATAACTTTATATAGCGAAGATATGAGACTAGCATATAATTTATACTCTTCATCCAATTTTACTGACACTTCTTATCTGAATCTGCCCAGCTATGAATATTTTCACGGACACGCACTTGACATTTCGGATGGTATAGGAAATCTCGGAGCCATAAAATGGAAACAGTTAGGATGTTTATTTCTCTCGTGGTTTCTGGTTTGTATATGCCTGTTAAAAGGTGTAAAATCTCAAGGAAAGGTGGCCTATTTTACGGCCCTATTTCCTTACTTTGTTATTTTAATAATGGGTATTCGAGTAGCTACTTTGGAGGGAAGTATTAAAGGCGTTGAATTCTATATAAAACCTGATTTTTCGATATTGAAGGGTGCAAAGGTATGGGGTGACGCAGCTGTTCAAATTTTTTTTTCCTTATCCCCCTGCTGGGGAGGGTTAATTACCTTGGCATCCTATAACAAATTTAATAATAATTGTTACAAAGATGCAATTATAATATCAATTGGAAATTGTTTGACATCCTTTATAGGTTCGTCTTAGGTAGTTAGAATAATAATCCTCTGGCTCAAACAAAAAGTAATACAATTTTTCAGCCGGATTCGTCGTATTTGGATCAATTGGCTATATGGCCCATGAAATGGGAACAGAAGTCTCTAAAGTTGCAGTTCATGGAAGTGGCCTTGCTTTTATAGCTTATCCAGAAGTAATAGCCAGTTTACCTGTATCATCTCTATGGTCTCTTATCTTCTTTCTAATGCTATTAACATTAGGATTGGGGACACAATTTTCTGTTGTTACTACAGTACATACTACAATTTTAGATATATATCCTGAAACCTTAAGAACCGGAAAAAAGCCTATGTATTTAATGGCTAGTATTTGCTTTGTACTTTTTCTATTAGGCCTACCAATGACTACGAGGGGTGGAATGTACGTTTTACAATTATTCGACGATTATAGTGCATCTTTCTCGGTGTTATTCATAGGTTTCTTTGAAATTATTACCATAAGTTGGATCTATGGTATTAAAAGATTTTCTGATAATATATCAGAAATGTTAGGTAAAAGGCCAAACTTGTGGTTTAGAAGTTTGTGGTTAGCCGGAACTCCATTTCTAATTATTGGTATAGTCTTCTTTTCCTTTTATCAATATAAAGGGTCAAGTTACGAACAACATCCTTTCCCAAATTGGGCTAATATCATTGGATTATGCATAACATTCTTTCCAGTATCTTTCATTCCAGCTATTGCATTTTATAAACTATCTATAAGTTATAAATATCACAAATCATTGCTAAAAACAATTCAATTCTTACTTAATCCAAGAGAAAATTGGAAGCCGGCTAATAGAGAAATTGAATTTAAACCAAGAGTAATAGAGATTAACTTTACTGATAAAGATTCAATTATTGGAACATGTCAGAGGAAATGTATTGAGGCTAATGGGAAATTTAGTGGCGAAGATTTGGATGATGATACTGATATTAAAGTTGAAAATTTCATAAAATCGTCATCTGTTTGTGACGTTACGTCAGTGTCATCTAATAAACTTTAAAAAAAGGAAAAATATAAATAAAAATAAGATGTTCGTTTTTTTTTCCAATGTATTCTTCATTTGACATACTTTAGCGAAAAATACGTATTTTTATTAGTTTATATGGCCGCTAGATGACACTATAATAACTTCTTCAAGCCGCAAGATGCCACTACGCAAAACGACCTTGACCTTTATTGATTAAAATGGTATCAGGTAAGGCATACGTTTTATTACCTATTTTTATCGTCCGGAATAACTTAACCTGATAATACACGCCCAAAATTTTCTAAAGATATTATATTTATGTGCTCGGCTGGAGCTTCTTCAATTTTAGACGCCTTCAGATCCGCAATCATCGGTTAGTCATAGCGGTAAAGGCGTTTTCTTCATACATTATTATTAATATGTACAAAAATTTCATCTTATCAGGTCAATTGACGGATATTGACATTCCAAAATATTCTACATGAAAAGAATGCTCATTAACTTATGGAAAATTGTTAATTGGATATAAGCACAGCAAAATTGGATTTAATTGACAATAGTGAAACTTTCTACGTAAAAAAGAAAACAATATAAATAAGGAATTACCAAAAAAAGAAAACGTAAAAAATTATCTGGGGACTGGCCAAAATATTTATTTTTTTAATATAAATGGCTGTGTATAAATCTTATGGTGGACCTTCGCATTGGAAAAAAGAGAAAAAGAATCCAGACGAAACAAGCTTAACCCGTGTCAGACAGGTTTATCAAGAAGATCCCGAAAAGTACTTTAATACTACGAATCATGTGGAAAGATTTCAGGTTTGTTTATTTAACTCACAATAAGTTACTCAAAGTTGATAGTATATGTATACATGTATAATATATATAAAAATAAAGTCCTATGTTAACTTTGTTAGTAAACCAGCTGTGTCATACACAGGTGGTCACAAAAAATATAATCACCATTAAGTTATTAAATGCGATAAAAGATTAGCTACTAGTAAAAATTTAGAACTTTTCCAGAAGTTTAATACTCATATATTTATATTTATGGTCTAAATTTCACCTGCAAAAGGAACTATTTACGACTTATTCAATTGAGTTCTATTTATGCTTTCAAGTTCATATTGTATGTTATTTAAAGGTCTTAAGATATTTTTTCTCTTTCATCAATCAATTGTAGAAATCTCTCTCTTTCTCTCGTTCTGTCTCTATATTTATATAAATTTATATCATTTCAAGTTATAAACGTTTGTTTTCCAACCTATTTACATAGTAATATGTAAGGTTTTCCATTGAAAATATGCTCCTTTTATATTTCTCTTTTTTTTAAAAAAAAAAAGAACAAAATATGAATTATAGGACTAAGTTTACTCTTGTAAATTCAGAATAATCGTTTGCCTAACAACATAAGAACTGATATTTGAAAGGCAAAAAAAAATTGGTCTTTTTAAATTTTCCTCTTCCCTCCTTTCATTTACTATTTATTGTTATTATATATATATTTTATATATATATATATATTAGTATTATTTGTTAAGCAATGTAATATCCGGTCTAAAAGATATTATCCTTATATATATAAATATATATATTTATTTGCGAATGTTTTGCAAAAGCCATACACAGAAAATGAACTGTTTATATCTTAACAGTTGTTAAGAGCCTCTATTGGCTGCAGTATATGCAGATATGTGTATATCTATATACATAATGTATAAGAAGTGTACTCTTAAAAAAATAACGCCTACGTAAGAAGATTAAATGACAAGATTAAAAAGAATTTTTTAATTCAACTGCAATATTAATATAAAATTTTTAAAAGAACAAAACGAGAACAAAGAGAAAACCAAGACAATTTCAAGAGTTAATATTCAATAATCATTTTTCCCTTTATAACTTAAAAAAATTACATTTTATATTTTTGCTTTATGTATATCGAATTTTATATGGTTAACATTTAAATAATCTTAAACATGCTATAATATTATAGCTACATACTGATATATTTTGATAAAGAAATATCACGAAAATGTAATAGAACACCAATATAGGACTGCATTGATAAGTTAACAGAAAGATCAAATAGACACTATTATTATTGACTTAAGGTTTTGGTAGTTCTTAGCTTCTTCGTTTTTTTTTTGTATATTCCTCCTAATAAACAGTGTAAAGTCTTCTTGAAACTAACAATAGTCTATTAGGGAGGTCGTAAATTTTAAATGCTTTTTTTTATATAAATGAACCTAAAGATATATCTATCTTCGTAAATTGTCAATAAAAAATGTAGTTTTTACTTTTTATGGTCGTACTAAAGTCCTTGAACAAGATTTGATTGTATTCGTTTAATATTCAGGTAACAAGGGCTATTTTTGAACGGCTGGAACAAGAAAATGCCTTGCCATCAAAGAAGAAAGGGGCTAAGAAATCCTTTTCAACTAGTAGTCCAGTCTACAGTCAGAGGGAGAGGCGATCCTCGGCCGATAGCACGGACGATGTTAAAAATATTCTTAAAGCTGCCTCAACTGAAAATATAAACTCTATGCCTTTGGATGTTTTTCCAGAAGAAAGTAGCTTTCGAGGGAGTAATTATCGTGATAGAAATCTTTCCAGATCCGAAAGTGATTTGACTAGGGATCTAGTCGACGAAACAAGCGTTCCCTCAACAAAGTCTCTTCTAGAAAAATTCGAAAGAAAGAGCCAGCCGCAGGGTCCTTCAAAAACAGCACCTAGCCTTAGAAATGAAAGAAAGAGCGATAGTCAATTGAGAAGGGATAAAGTTTCTTTGGAAAGAAGCCATTCGGATAGACTATCTAAAAAGGCCGTAAGTGAAGAAAATTGGGAAAGAGAAAAAGATGCAAAACCTAATCGTACATCATGGAGAGGCGAACAGTTAGACATGATACCAAAGCCATCAAAGAGCATGCAAAAAGAGAAAAATTTTACTTCACAGTATGCTGAGAAAGAAGCCAGCTGGATTAAACATCACGAAGACGACATGCCTGAAACAAATTATTCGCCGGTGTACAAAAGCAATGATTTACATAAAGAAAAGGCGCAGTCCTCGTCTAAACCGTGGAAGTCATTTGATGATAAAGGTCACGGTGATTCCCCCTCTCAAGTTTATGAAGAGACATTGGAGACGTTTCATTCACGCGGCATCCCTAAACGCTCTGAAGGAACACTACCCAATTCAACAAGTAATGCAATAAGAGAAGAACCAGAAAAACCTCTAAAAAAGAATTGGAATCACGAAGACTCCAAAATTACGTCACCTAGGAATGTTCCATCCCGTTTTATAGGTAATGATACTACCACCGATCATATTGACTCTTTGCAACAATGGAAAAAAAATCGTGAAAAAACCAGAGAAGTGCTAAAAGATGGTGCTGGAGAAGAGATAGCTGAAAGAAGCGATTCCCCACCCCCTCTTCCTCGTACCGAAGTCCCCGATTCTTCGTCGGACACAATGGAGGACGACTTTAAAGACTCGCCAAATACTTTGGAAGAATCCACTATTGTAGATGATACACACTTGACTCACGGCTCGCCAGCTACGCTCAAAAAACTTGAGGAATTGTCTCTGGCAGTTGAAGAAGCTGCGCAAATAAACGAGAGAGATCAACCGAAAGAGACATTGACTCTTGATGGATTTAGTCCCGAAGAAAGCACTGATGTGAATTATGTAAATCAAGTAATAACTAAAGTAAAAGATATTTCATCGCCAACGGAGAGTGAAAATGTTTACCCAACTCCTGATGATTTATTAAAGCAACGAGAACGTCCCGATGGTAGAGAAGAACCCGAAATTCCCAAGCCAGACGCAACTCAAGACAGTGGCGTGCTGGATGATAGTAAGTACTCAATTTAGCTCAAAGAAATATCAATAACAATTCATATTATCTATATTATCTTATCAATATTATTCAATTTTATATTTACTAATATTACACAACAGACGAGTATGAAGAAATAAGAGACGATGCTTTCGATGATTATGATGGAGAAAATGAATTAGGATTTTATGAAATTACTGGTTTACCTGAAGAATCGGAACCAGAGGAGCATTTAATTGATTACAAACCCCCTTCAAAGCTCAAGTTTAGCACTGACCCTATTAGAGTTTTCTTAACATACCCTCCTGAAGATTATGATAGGAAGAATGAAGAAATGGATCCTTTGGCGGCCAGTGCCGAGTGGGAATTGGAAAAACGGGTTGAAAAAATGGATGTCTTTCCTGTTGAACTAAACAAAGGTGAGATTACTACTTGACAAGGTAACAAATTTAAATTTATTGTTTTTGTAGGTGCTTCCGGTCTCGGACTCTCTATTATTGGTATGGGAGTAGGAGCTGATGCCGGATTGGAAAAATTGGGAATTTTTATTAAAACAATGGCTCCTGGAGGTGCTGCAGAGGAAGATGGCCGTATTGAGGTCGGAGATCAAATAATTGAAGTAGATGGAAAGAGTTTGCTAGGTGTGACTCAAGTTTACGCCGCTGAAGTTCTCAGAGGCACTTCTGGTAAAGTTGTCTTCCAAATAGGCCGCGAACGTGATAGAGAAAATAGCGAGGTTAGAAAACTTTTCAATATTGTTGTGACTGGTGAATAGAGTAATGTATTAATAAACACAGGTGATGAAGCTAATTCGACAGTCTGTTGAGAAAGACAAAGCAAAAACTGAGCGAAAAGAACTAGAAGAGGTTAGAAAGAAACAAGAAGTGTTAAAACAACAGGATTCGGAGCTAGAAAGAACTGAAAAGGAATTACGAACGCAATTACCGTCGTCAGAGGATGCTTCACCGGAAACTCCTGAAATGCCAACTAGAGAAGAGTTATTTATTAAATTGAAAGATGCTCAATATAAAAATGCAGCTATTGAAGCTGAACTAGCAAAATTACGTGCAAGAGTTATAGTGTTAGAGAATGTTGAAAAACAAAAAAAGCAATACGAGAAGAGGTTAACTTTATTCTATTTTCTATTTTGTATGCTTAAAATATTCTCTTCTCCTATGGGATTTCCAATAAGTTTAATTCAATGAACAGATGTGAAGAAATGGGCGCGAAACTGAGGGATAGCGAGAGAGCTTTACAAGCAGTTCAATCAGACATATCTAACTATCAGTCCATAATGAAAGGCTCCAAAGAGAAATTAGCAGAAATGCAACAGCACATGGAAATTGACTGTAAAAAAGCCGATTCACGGTTCGAAGAAGCGAATGAGACAATAAGAAAAATGGCTAAAAGGGAAGAAGCCCAACAGCAATACATAAAAACGTTAGAAGAAAAATTAAAGAATTCAGGGATATCGTTAGGAGCCGAAGACGGTAGGAATATTTTATAGATTCTATTGAATGATTGTTTCCTTTGTTTTTCTAAATATTATATTTGTTATCGTATTCCCTTTCCTATATTATTGTTTTGTGAGAGGAATGTTTTCCTTTATTTTTTATCAAGCATTTACAAATATCCCTTTCTACGCAATCCTTTTTAGCTGTAGACCAGAGAAATGGTAATAGCCTACCGAATTTTGATGTACCAACAACTGACCATCTTTTAGATACGACTGCCTCCAAGGATAGAGTCAATTTAATAAAAGGAAAAAGTAGCCTAGCGAATAGAAAACCTCCCAGTAAATTGCCTGCTCAAGTTAAATCGGAACCTGAATTCGAGGATTATAGGTAAGATATGTTTCAGTCACTTTTCTCCCACTTTTCGTCAAGCTTTGCTTTTAATAACAAAAACTCACTAACCCTCTGATTCCTTACCTTTTCTTCTTATCTATCATGATTAGACCCGAAGTTCCTCCTCGAAGACAGCGTGATGTTGTACAATCAGTAGAGGAATCCGTCGATTATTGGTTGGTGTTGATAATCTAACTTTAACATCTATTTTATATATATATATATATATATATATATTGAATGTATATGTATAATTTACCCACTATTTTCCTTTTTATTACTGTTATTTATATTTAATCAAGCATCTTCTAAGAATTTCACTCTACTATTTTTTACTAATACTATAATTCAATTGTCGTAACTATCACTTAGCAAGATTTTTTGATTAAGCAGTTGATTTTATACGTATTTTTTACTATCCCCGATGATAGGGATTCGTCAGAAACCTCATCAGTTGCTTCTCACGCGTCTTATGAACCAAACAGTGTGATATCCAACAGCGGTGAAGTGGCAACATTCCCTTTAGATAACTCGGAAGATAATGGTGGAATAGTTCTAATAAGCGTGACTCACACTTCTGAAAGTACAAATGAACGCCCGCTCAAAGAACTAGAACCGGAGAAAAGAGAAAGGCTGTTGACGGATGGCTCTGAGTTATCAAGTGGTAAATATGATCATTAGTAACTTCTCGACATATTAATTTTATTCGTTTTTAATTCGACAAAAAGCCGATAAACCCATACTTTTGGAGTCCCCAATAGTTTGGATGGTTCCGCAAGTTTGCTGTTGGTTAGAAAAGAATAACTTGAAATGCTTTTGCGAAGCGGCTAAAGATGAAAAAATCGATGGTGAAACTCTTCTCGGCATGGATAGCAATAGATTAAAAGTAAGTCTTTTCCTAATCACATACAGTAAACTAGATTAACCTTGATCAACTTCCCTAAAAGACATTCTGCGGGTCGATGACAAAAGAACGTGACATATTGAAAAAGAAACTAAAAGAATTAAAGAATATGGTTGAAAAGGAGAGAAAAAGAGAAGAAAAAGAGCGAAAAGCTAGAGAGAAGATTAAGGCTAGTGCAGGGACTGGAAAGAAAAAGTTCTTGAAACTGTAAAGCTTTATATCATAAATGATTTCATAAAGAGAATAATTTTGGTGCTTTTGTCTCCTTTATGCAAAACTATTAAACAGACTGAGGGCTAAATTTATTACAGAAATTTCTATAAACTATCCATATGACTTTTATATACAACATTTCCTATATATATATATACATAATAATTGCATATACATATAAATATGTATGTATATATACTGAATATGTACATTTTATATGCATAGACACTCAACTATAATTATTTATTATACAGTATACATATATATATATATACATACCTTGATTTATATATATGTATATTTATATATATATATTATTATTAATACTACTACAGACACTTCGGTGTAGTTTGTTACTAGTACAAAATTTCTATAGCATATTGGCGTTCTGTCCATGCTTTTTATACAATTGAAATTAATGTTTTATTTTTATTTAAATATATTAGACTAATTTGGTAAGTTAATAATTTCTTTTTGTATAAAAACAACGTTTATCTTTTTTCCCAAGAGAAATGAGGTGAATAAATGTCATATTTTCATTCCAGAATAGAGTTATTTAAAAGTAAATATAAATAAATATAATACACCATTGTTACTTGCTGTCTTTGAGCTAATAAACATACCTTTAAAGTTGTGAAATTCTTTTATTACTTCCTTTAAATTCAAATTTTATAAATGTTAATCAATCAAAATAAGATTATATACTGTATATAGGGTCTTTTTTTTCCACCTTCCATTTTTATCCAACTTTGCTCGTCCTCCCATTTTTTTTTCACAATAGTATTTACAAAATAAACAACGTATAAAAAGATAAAGGCTGAATGAAGAAAGGGTGGGGTGATAGGATTGAAGAGATAAATACAACTAGAGAGCTGTGAATTGAGAATGCATGTCTCCGGAAATCGGTTAGACCTAACTTATTTGATAAATTGTTCACTTTAAAATCTCGATATATCTAGATTTTGGCCGTTTTTCAAATGGAAAATCAACAAGATTTGTATTTGCACAATTGATACAAATGACAAGAGTTGAACCCTGAAATATACTGTCTATACTAATATATACAGAATAAAGAATAGTTTGATATTTTTTCTCGTACGAAATCTATTCAATTGTATTTGTTTCTTTTATTTTATAGTACAGTAAATTATCTTTAGTCCTATACTTGAAAGATAGGACAGATGACAAAGAGGATGGCCGATAGGAATAGAAATTTTATATTATAATTAAATTTTTACTGAAAGGAAAGAGAGATCTATTATTTTAATAATTCGTTTTTGCCTTTAATAGTTAACCAGAAAAAAAATATAACAAAAACAGCAACCTCCTTAAAATATTCAATAGAGTAGATTAGAGCAGATAACGGTAGCACTTAAGTTACACAGACAGATACCAAAACATATTTATTGATTTCATCCTCTAAAAAAAATCGATTTAGCCTAAAATCTATATATATATATATATATATATATATATAATCTAGTATAAATTTATATCCTATACAGTATATACTTATATATTATTTAAAAGCGTATTAATATTATCTTACGTATATTTTGCAATTCTTACATGATAAAAGCCAAAATATTTGTGAAATACTAATAATATGTTATTAAAGCTGATTCTGTAAAATCGTTGAATAACTTTAAAAATGTAACGAAAAAATAAGAGAGTAATTTTCAATAGTCACTAATACTGAATGAATTGCTTGCTTTATTATTATTGCTACCTTTTCTCTCAATTTACAGTACTACATGCTTTGGTACATCTATTATTTGTGCTGAGATATAAATAGGCTATTTGAATTTTCGTTATTGTTTGAAATCTAATAGAAAAAAATAAAATTATTTAAACAGGTAAATCTATATCATTTTACACTAGGATTAACTAGCTGTTTTTATATTTTGTATTGTTAACACAAAGATGCTTTCATTGTGAATAGTATTGTATTTTTAAGAGCATATCTAATATTAATTTTTTGAACTCTTTGTCCCAATTAACATTTTTTCTCTCCTTATTCACTTATCAGCTGCCAAATTTAGACATGGGTCCACATAATGGCCATTTTATAAACTCTTTACTGCTCATATACTCTTTGATGCTCGGTATATTCTAGTAATGTTAAAAAATAATGTTTAAATTAATTAGGTCATTCCTAAAATAAAAATTAAATAGATTATTTACCTCAAAGTTAGCCATATAAGCATTTAATGTTGGGAAATTATCCAAAACATCTGCCTTCAAAAATCTATGTTTATCTAGGACTTCGTACATGTTAAAGTCGGGGCAGGAAATCTAAGTTTTAATAATTAATTAAATATTCTAATTTATTAAATGAATATTTACATTTTCTCCTAATAGCCATTTTCCAGATTCATTCTTTGATAGATACTTTTCGTATTTTTCCAGTTTACTATCTAAATTACTCAGGTACTCTTTTATCATCTTTTGCTATAATCGACGTAACATTGTTTTAGTATATAAGAAAATGTATACTACAAGTAATATTATTTACGTAGTTATCATCATCGGTTGCAACATAACCAATCTTTATAAAGTCAATATTAAAGTCAGCTATTTCATCCATCAAAAAGTAAACCTTTACTTCTTCTTCAGGTGTTTTACCAACTTTGAAAGGAAAAACAACAACATATACAATTATAGCTCCTAATTAGGTAATAATATAAACTTGCAACTTACAAAGACCATACTTTTTTGCAATATATGCCATGATAGCTTTACTCTGTGTAAGCTTAACGTCTCCATCTATGTAATAAGGCAACTGAAGATATTAAAACTAGGTTATTTTTGGATGAAGAATTGGGATAACATCTATTAATTTTGGTATTTTAATTACATTTGGAAAATCTAAACCAAGATTGAATTTGTCCTTTAACCAGTTCTCGCTGTAGCGATCAGGACCTTGAAAGATTTGATAAAAAAATTATTAAATTAAACATAAAAGATTATTCTATCGTTTCAATCCTTACCTGGTCCGAAATCGTAGACTTTATCTTCAAATTCAACATTGCAGTACTTCAAGAGAAGCCTTATCTGTTGAGCCAACTGAAAGAATGATATATAACTCGTTAAATGGTGGAATTTGAAAGGCTATAGACAATTTTTCAAGAAAGTTAAATCTATATTCTTTATACATTAATCATGTATTCATCATTTTTTTGTAAGAACAACATAACAAAAAGTCGTAATAGATTTATAGTTATTAACATACTCCTTTAATGTTCCAGTAACCTAAAGTAGGTGCCATTTTTAATTTGATCTAGTTCAAGATGTTAATAGTACACTCTTGCTAGCCAACAACTGATCGGTTTGTGACAGCAGATAGAAAATTTAGTTTCGAAATTATCAGTACTATTGCGAAATTTCCTTAGGAAAAGTTTAAAATCATGAGGTGAGTACAGTGACAACGCAAAATGTTATGAATATATTTCCTTATATTTTTATAAAACACTTTTAAGAGTACACACATTTAGAGTATAGAATCTTAGGCTAAAAATTGGAGAAAATAGGACTATCGATGTAAACTATGTAATATATTACAATTACTCTTTAGAAATAAACAATATATAAAATTTATACACTGTATAGTGTATATACAGTATATATATATACATGTATACTATTTGTATATAAATACCAAAGTCAAACACCACTTAATCGTATTCTTTCTTAAAGATTGTAAGATTCTTATGTATTGATTTCAATATTTTCTTATAAAAAAATATCTAATATTAACTTTACTTCTTGAGAAATATTAATATAAAAATAGTTCCATTAGAAGTTTGACCTATTTAGTATTTATGCTATAGTGTTACTAGAAGCTTGACCATCTTATTTTCTTTTATAGTATATATATATATTATATATATATACATGTTTATGGACAAACAAGATTCTCTGGTGGAATGACATTGGAAATCCATTAGCTTTTGTATCCAGTTTAATTCGTGTCTTGCAGCATATTACAGAGTTTCCCCTGTCATAGATAATAGGAGGTACAGGACATAAATATATTATCTTGTATATCTAGTACTCTTTATATTCAGTGTTTACTTTTAAAATGTACATTGTCCTTCAAATAGTGATTACCCAATTGGCCTTTATTTTTTTCCAACCTAATACTACCTTTTATATAAAATTAACAAATAAATAACATATATACATTATACACATATACTCCTCCTACTGATCAGTAACATGTCAGAGTGCAGATGACACAAAAAAATACTACTGACGGGGTGTTTTTGCACTTTACTTATCAGTCTACGCCTTTAATATAAAAGAAAGAGAGACAAATTTATGTTATTGCTATTTATTTCCATGAAAACGCAGTAAGAGTTTTATATTTCAGCAATTAATTGCCGCCAAATTTTGCGATTTTGTTGTTCAAAGGATACTTCAAAAATTCTTTGCTCGCTAAATATTCTTTAATAGCGGGAAGTTCCTTAAATAGAAAATACATATTAAATTGGATATGTTGAAAGAATGTTTAAGCTTACCTCGAAAGTCTTCATGTAAGCAGTAAGTTTAGTATATTTATCTAAACATCCTTCCTTGAAAATTCTATGATGATCCAAAATTTCGTAGAAATAGAAGTCGGCGTAGCTTAGCTAATAATGAAAATAATACATCGTACATTTATTTATTATTTCCTTAAATTTATGTTAAATTTAAATTAGTATATCTTTTACATTTTCTCCCGCAAGCCACTTTCCAACAGATTCATTTTTCTTAAGATAATCCTCAAATCTTTGTAATTTACCATCCAATGAAGCCAAATAATCAACTTTCATACTTTCCTGTTATAAATGGCAATACTATTAAAGGATTATCCATATATTAATAAACTTATATGGATAAATATAAATAATTATTTACAAAGGCCTCGACACTAGGTGCTCCATAGCAAATTCTAGTAAATGCACTTCTAAAGTCTCCAACTTCATCAGTCATCAAACAGACTTTCAATTGTTCTTCATCAGTTTTACCGCCTAAAATGTAAAATACATATAATAAATTCTTCAATCAATAAAAGAAGAACTATATAAACTTACAAAGGCCGTGTTTTTTACCAATGTAATGTAAAATGGCTCTACTCTGAGTGAGTTTTACATCTCCATCAATATAATAGGGCAACTGTATGAAATAAAAATACAATTAAATTGATGTAAACATGTTTGATTTATTAAAAAAACAAACATTTGGAAAATCTAAACCAAGAGTAAACTTCTCCTTCAACCAACATTCTCTACTGAAATCTGGTGCTAGAGGTGTGAAGAATAAGAAAGAACATTTATGAATAATAGACATTTAATATTATAATTTAATTATTCTTCTTCTTCTTACCTGGTCCGCATTCGTAGTATTTATCTTCGAATTCAATATTACAATATTTTAGCATCAATCTTATCGGTTGAGCTAACTGTAACAAAGCATAAACTTTTTTACTAGAATATTCTAAATTTGATAAGAATTTTTGAAAATTATGATTACAACTTTCTACAGTTTAATTGCTTAATAAGGAACAAATTGCATACTTTATTATATAATTATTATGTAATTATTATATAATAAAATTACAAAATTTTATAATTAGACAATATGAGGTCAACATTTAATAAGAATTAAAATTTTTTTTCATTTCAAGTTGTTATACTTTAAATACTGTCGTATCTGTAAGTTAAATTAAATACTTACACCTCTAATTTTCCAATAGCCTAAAACTGGAGCCATTTTTTTCTGTTCTTGCGAATTGAGGAAAAATTTGACGGAAAGTGTTCAATACCGGTAACAACTTTATATATAGTAAAAAGGTTACCGGAAGTCTACGTTTACGACATTTGCTCACTGTGCACTGTTAAAATTTGTCTAAAAAACATACTATAACTAAGATTAAAATTTAAGAGTAAATTTGATAGATGCAGCGAACAATTCTATTGATAGTATTTTATTAAGATAAAATAGACTCAATGATGATTAAGCATAAAAAAACACCACATCACGATGACAATTTAAATATAACTATTTAGTACCAAAATTTGCCATCGGATTATTAAAAGGTCTATTAAAGTATGAATCACTTTCCATATAACTTTTAATTTGCGGGATAGACTGCAAAAGAGAAAACACTATTTAAAAAATATGCTTTAATTATATAACTAATGAATTTAATAATTCGTTATAGAAATACTTTGAAATTTTCCATAAATTCTCTCAATTTAGGATATTTTTCCAAGCAATCTGGTTTAAAGAGAAGGTGCTGCTCAAGTAGGTCATAAAGAATAAAATCAGCATAACATATCTATAAACCATTGTTAAATATATCAAAAAAAGAGATAATATTATAAAAGAATTCAAAATCAATTATTTGATAACCTTTGAACCAAGTAACCATTCTTGATTTTTATCATTTTTTGCTAATAGATTCTCCCATATTGTTAAATCTTTATCAAGGTTTTCTATATATAGATCTTTAATTACTTCCTACAAATATACAGTACATAATAATATAGATGCAATATTCTAACAGAGTAATAATTATTATTACGTAATCTTTTAATTTCTCGCATTTATACTGATTATGGGCGTCGTGATAGCAAACTTCTACAAATTTCTCTCGAAAATCAAATAATTGTTCAGCTAACATGTCTATTTTTCCATCTTCCTCAGCTGAATTTCCGCCTAATGTTGTTTAATGACATTAACTTGAGATATATGATATTATAATAATAATTTACTTAAATGGTGTTTGTTGGCTATGTAACGCAAAATGGCGGTACTTTGAGTTAATGTAAATTTACCGTCAATATAATAAGGAAGCTATTAAAATAAGATATGAGAAGATCAAACGTAAATCAATTGCTATTAACAAACATTAGGTATTTCTAGTCCAAGATTAAATTTCTCTTCTAGCCAACAGTCTTTATTATACCTGGGAGCTGTTAAATAAGAAAACCAATTAGAGAAAATGTATTGCGATTGATTAACAAGTAGCAACTACCTGGTCCACATTCATAGCTTTTATCTATAAAATCAACATAGCAAAATTTTAATAGAAGTCTTATAGGTTGGACATACTAAAGAGAGAAGAAAATTGATTCTATCAGCTACGTCCAAGATATATTTTTTATATATTTTAATAATACAAACTCCTCTAATTTTCCAATATCCCAAAATTGGTGCCATACTAGAATATCTGCCAAGATTATGTCAGAAACTAAAGACAGAAAGAGAAAGAGAGAGGTGAGTAAAGAGGAGACAAGTAGAAATTGCTTGTAATAGTGTAGTATTGACTTTTTTAGGCCTACATTTGAAAGCTACTAAATATATTCTCAAGTAATAACAACAATATCAAAGATTAATAATTGTATATAATAAGATTCTTTACTGTAGACAATAAAGGAGAAGAGTACAATATTTACTTCATTAAGAAATTAAAATATCCTTAGATATTCTTGCATGGATAATATTATGCGAAATAAACAAACATTCCATTCCAACAGTCTTCATGTATTGACTGTTATGATAATATCTTGCTTAAAAAGATTACCAATTAAACCAAATATATCTAGTTCAATCGATAATATATTATCATTCAAGCAATTACAGTTATAATAACATACATCAGTCATATCAATTTCTTCGTAATATCTATTTTCCTTCGAAGATAAATGATATTCTCTCAAACCTAAATACTTGAAAAAATTCTGTGAGGTATTCGTATAGTTGTGATAATGGTGATTTTCAAAAGCATAATTATCACATACAGCTGATAAAATTATTTCATATTTAATGCATGAATCTTCAACACCAATACCTTTGAGTTCAATATTAACACTATTTAAATTAAGTGATGACAAATCAATGGCTTGATATTGATTATTATTATCAGGATTACCACAAATAGCTATATTATTGAAATTGACTTCTGTTAATAATGAACTACGGTTCAAAATTATAACAATGTTTCTTGATATATTAGTATTTAATCCAAAAACATCAACTTCACATAATGATAGATAATTGTTAGAGTGGCTTTCGTTGTATGGATGCGTATATTTTTGAATTGATAGGAAGCGTCCATAAGAGAATTTTGGACATCTTACTGTTGAACAAGAAAATAGTACTTCTTCTATACTGCCCGCAAGTTGTCCTTTCACTTGTAAAAATATCTTTTGTATCCGTTAAATCAATTCGTAAATCTCTTAGGCGATCACCCTTAATTAATCTATTTATAATTGAAATAGCGAAAACCACACAGTTTTCACCTAAATCAACCAACCACCAAGAATTTAATAAACTATTTGTATGAGCACAAGTTGGATCTAGGGAATTCCATTTCGCGTTGCTCATACCATCGACGGCATTCTGACTTCCTCCCAAACTACCATGAATGGAACTTTGTAATGTTTCTCTATTTTTTGCAAGATTTGACATAGTTCATATTTCGACTTCACATAATATCATTCTGGGAATTGAAGTTGACGACATAAAAACTTGAATGGAGTATTGCGGCTTTGGCTTACAATTATTCGTTAAAGAATATGAGAATTTCACTTCCGATGGAACGTTTTCGCATAGTTGAAATTTGGAGAAAACTGAAAAATTCATTTTATTCATGATGGTTCTAATTTCGAATTCTTTTAAAATGAATACTGAATCCTGTGAACTAAGTATTCGGATTGTTCTAATTAGATTGACTTGTTCAAATTTTACACCCCACCATGAAATATATAAATCACCAAATATTTCTTGTTGAGAATGAATACAGGGAGACAGAGTAGGATTGAACTTTCCATCAACAGCGTTCGAGCTCTCACCACTCTCCATCGTTTGGGATTGTTGAGTAATACAGTATAATATATAATATTAATATAATCATTCATACAGAAATTAGTGCTAACTATCAAAAGAATTAGGATATATTGTTTCATATTCAAGAGATTATCAGGTCAATGTATATTACAAACCAATAAGAGCAATTGCTATATATAATCATATATATATATATATATATATTAATTATTAACGGAGAAAACATATACGAATGAATTGAATAGCTTAAAAAAATAGAGTATATTTAGTTTGTAAATAATATAAAGTGTGAGCATACTTTTATTACTTAAGCCATTATAATTTTAATAAGCTAATTAGCTTAAAAGCTAATTGATGTAAAGTCTGTCAACTCGTACATGATAAATTTCAGTGATTTATACATGATTTTCCAATTTGAACTAATAAGTAAAAGTAAAGTGAAAAAAAAGATGGCTGCAATTTACTTTTTAGATTTCTTGATGAGTTAGGAGAAAAGTCTTTTTTTACTTAGCATTTTAGAGCAGCTTCAAGTGTCTATTTATCAAGGATTAGGAAATTTTCTTTGACAGTTTTAGTTTCACTTTTCTGTAGATAATAGCCTTTCGGCTCTCTATTTTTCTCTTTATCAAGTAAAGAAACTTAAAAAAAGGGGAAAAAACAGATTAAATACCTATACTAATTGTGTTTAAAATAAGGTTTCAGCTTGAAAGAAAGTTCCTATCTGTTGATGTGCTTTTATCTTTTTTTTTGCTTTAGAAATTTATATACATATACCGTATATATATATATATGTAAATATATTACCGTAATACATCTAGATAGATACTTTGTACTATATTATGTATTATTTACGTACGTAGACTTAACTGCTTTATCGATTCTTTTAAGTTAAATACCGAGTTTTTAAGAGAAAATTCTCATATAAACGAGAGATATTGCTTTTAAAAGTTGGAAAAAATCATTAAGTTAAGCATTTAATAAATCAATTTTATAATATTTTATTGAATGAAATGTAATGATATGCCTTTGCAAAGAAATCTACTAAAATAATATAAGATCCCATTTGAACCTAACAGATGGCGGTACTAACTTTAACATTATTTTAATAAACAGAATATTATTTATGGAAAAATTTTTATAATGCTTATATAAAGGTTAAAAGTGTTAAAAGGTTAACAAGGTTAGAACGTTAATAAATCAAGAAAAGGCTTCATAAAGTTTAGATTTATCGGTAAAGAAAAGGGTATTAAAAGAGTTGTAAATAACATATATTATTTTTGTTTATATCTCTTTAAAACACATATATATTTTGTGAAAAACAGATGCCTAAATCCACACCGTACAAATATCTTTTATACAAAGTAAACAATAAAGAATAAAAGTGATATATTGATTAATATTAATATAAAAAATAACATGAATGTATACTTGGATAAAGTAAAGCTTATAACTATTCAAAGATGGAATAGGATTATACTAAAGAAATATGTAAATTTCTTTATTCTCTGCCTGTAATTCTATTACAATAAAAGAAGACATTATTAATGCTTCAATATCAAAAATCCATATTTGGACGTCTACTCCCTTTCATCCTTGATTACCTTAATATGTTTCAAAAAGAATATATAGAATTTACTTTATAGAAACACTAAAAGTAAGATGGAAATGTTGCTCTAACAATAGGAATGAAAGATAACGAAGAAAATAGGGAAGAAGGTGAGAGAAAAGATAGAGATAATATGGACATATATTACTATTTATATTCTTTCCAAGTACTTTTAAATGGCCTTGGGAAAGGTTTTTACTCACTACGTAAAATCACCCTCTTTCCTTAGAGATTGATTAAAATAGGGATTATCCGGAGAGTAATCTCCTAGAACTTTTATTTGCTATTTTTAAACATATCTTTACCTTAATACTGATGAAAATATATACAAAAGTGTTTTTTGGTTTTTTTCTATAATATTTCATGAGAAATACTATTATGATTATGTATGAATACTGATAAGGCTTCAATATCTAAGGTTTGTATGATTTCCTGAAAGAATAAAAAGTTATAGGCTCTCCCTAACCAGCCTTTTGATGTTGAATTTAGGAGTGTAGCTATTGTAAATTCATCTTAACTATAGATATTATATATCAAGTGGCTTGAAATGTATAATGCTTAAGGAATATTATACAATACCATACCCCTATGACATTTCACTCGCAAGAAAACTCAGAGAGACTGTGTAATTTGATTCAGTAGATGGCGTTAGGTATACTTTTGATATATTAGACAAGTTTATGAATATTTATGAGCAGATTTAGGCTAAAAAATTTACTTTTATATCTAACGCTAATATATTTATTGAAAAATTAAATATTCCATTCATTTAAATCACTGTTTTTCAAACTTTCGATATTCAATAAATATTTAGGGATATTTTCTTTTCAATTCTCTCTTCTTTTTTATCATAAATATAAATAAGGAGAAGAGATGGTTTATAGGGCAATTGTATTAGATTCAGAGACGTATAAGCCATTCTCTCTCTAGGCGGCGCTAAACTATAACAAGCCTTTCCGATCAGAGACGTCATAGATGAAATTCGATGAAACGCGTATCTTCTTCCATCTTCGCTATTTGTCTAATCGTGTTGTACACGGATCAATAATTTCTTTAATCAAGTATGTATAAAGTTTTCGATAACGTTCCTTTTTATTATTTAAACTCTTTTTCGGTTTATACATTTCTGAAGGAATATAAAACTCTGATAAAAAAGAAAGAAAGGGAATAAAATCTTTCTTCTCCCTTCGCTATCTTTTTCAATTGGGAGGAGAAAAGTTTTTATCTTTTTTAAGTAAATGAGAAAGCTTAATTAAGGGAAAAATTCCTTTTATTCTCTTATATTTGTTTATTTGTATTACGTGTATTATCCGTTAAAAAATATAAAGTACAAGGTTAGAGAGAGTGAGACAGAAAGAGAGAGAGAGAGAGAGAGAAGGAGACAGATAGATAGAAAAACAGACGGGCAAAGAGAGACAGATAGAGAAAGAGAAAGAGAAAGAAAAAGTCTTCTTTTTCTCCTTTTGCTACAAAATCAATAAAGATTCCGATATATTTTTACGCCGAAGGAATGTTTCTATTCTTTTAAATAAAAAGAGAGAATGAAAGAAAGACAAAAAGAGAATTTACTGCATAATATACTTCATGGAATTACAGTTATTATAAGACTTTTTCCCTACTTTATGCCAAAGTAGGTTTATACTAATACCAAATCCAAAGTTTATCATTCTTCGCTAAAGATTCGGTCAGCTGCGCTAAAATAACATAGGTTTCTAATGACTTTAACTGGTTAATTAGATATGGTGTGTCTAGACGAATTACAGGTTATTTACTTTTTACCCATGCCTCATCTTACGAATTTCTACTATGATTGATGGAAGATAGTAGACATTAACTTGAATAAATAAGAAGGTAATAAATCAAGACGTTAAGGAATTTACGTAATCGCTGAATAGAACATTCCAATAGATTTTTTATTCATTGGTACAACAGGGAAAAGATTGATAATCAATTTTGCAAATAATTATTCTTTACCATTTACAAGTCAAGAATAATTGGAAGAGAAATTTGTGATTTTTATCAAATTTCTGGAATTGATTTGTTTAATAGAATAATAAATATTGTTTACACTATTTTCTCCATACTGAAAACGGAAGTGGAATTTCCTTAAAATCTAAGAAAAGTATTTTTGGATTATGATATTTTCTTGACCTCTATGCAAACTGGTATAATTTTTATAGGACTGTATATTATGAAAATATCATATATATATATATATATATATATATATATATATAAATTATACCACACATACCATGCTATATCTGGGTAATATTGCCATATTTCGCGTTGATTAGTATTAACAGAAAATGTCTCTAAGGTGATTTATATAGATTAATAGCAGCTTCCTATACATATTCGTGTTACTTTTTTGTTGAATTATAAAAATTTGTAGTAAATACCGAATATTTCATCCTTCTGTCAGCGAAAGAAAACCTTTACACTTAATCATCTCTTAGTTTACTCTTAAACTCCGACATACTCAGCTACTTAAGGCTTGATTCTCTTAGATTTTAGCATTAAATCAGTTATACGTCGTGTTGATAGAGAATAGAGAGGTAGTAGGAGTTGAGAAAATAAGAGAAATGAAGTGAAAAAAATAGAGGATAAATATCATTCTAGTGATTAAAATCAAGTGCTGTTGTTACTTCACTATTGTCAGTTGAATTATTATTGTTTATTTATAACAATTTGGTAAAATTTTCAAAATGTAATCAGCTTTTCACTCTTCAAACGTAGTCTTTGTTTTTGAAAAAACAACGAAATCTGTAAAAAACAGGATAGATAAAAAAAAAGAAGGAGGGAGGGAGGAAAAGAGAGAAAGAGAGAGAGAGAGAGAGAGAGAGAAAGGGAGAGAGGGAGAGAGCAAGAGAAAAAATTTGCAGCATTCCCAACAGATAGCATTTAACCTATATCGATTAAAAAATATAATATTTACAGGTGCTTAACATTTTATTTAATAAAAATTCATAGTCTGGACTAAGTTATTAGCTTAAAAAGTCATTTATCAAAGTATAGGAAAAAATTGAAAATTATGTGTAGTTTCATTAACTTTTACGATGGTAATCGGGTAAAAGGAGACAAGCTCAAAGGTTGCAATAATAAAGCTGTTAGTTTACTTTATGTTTATCTCCTCTTGACC